TTCCGAGTCTATTATATTCGCGAACACCGCCCCGTCCGACTTTAGCAAATGATTGACTCTTTGTCCAACAGATGTTTAGTCGAACTGTGGTAAAGTTTGAAGGTGGGCCAGTCGGTGCATAGTGCACAGTCTTTGTAGCAAGTTCGGAGCCCTCACCGGCCTGGCCGGAGCGGCTTGGTTGGTTGTGAACTTTTGACAAAGACCGTTCATACAAAGAAAAACGGCGCAAGAGGACCCAAGGAAAGCAAGGAGAGGACAGACAGCGCTGTGCACGTGTCGCTGTTCTACTTGTGTGTGTGTCCTATTGCGCTGCGGTTCCTTTCATGTTTAGTCGAACGGAGCTTCGGATGCGTAGGAGTTTAACGAAATACGGAAACATGCCGCCCACAGGTATCGACCTAGGTGTAGCGTGCCAAGTACATTCAGCACATTGCGCTATTGTACTTATATTCAGTGACCGGTGAAGACCGCAGTGCAAGGTCTGCCTTCAGCGCGAGGTTTATAGCCTCCGGGTCACCACTGCGCATCCGACTGTTGGGGCTGGTATACGTTCTCTGTGCCTCGACTCTCGAGGCATGCGTATTTTGCGCGCCCCGGGAACTTTGTCTTTTATTGATTTTGTATGCATGTTGTTTTCGTGGACCTGCGTCACCAGAAAAGCACAAGCTTGCAAGCGCAGCGAATGCTCGGCGGAAGGGAGCGAGTGCGCGCTGGGGGCTTCGAACTGCAGTTTTAACCAAGTTAAGAATGCAGTAAGCTCCGCATTCTGCGTGAGCCCACTACAGTATAATTAGGGCTCCGCGTTTTCGAATAAACCCTATGAAATCCGAAGAACACTTGCCGTTTAAACTTTTGCCGATTCGGGTTTATCCGAAAAACCCCGAATATTTGTGGCTGCCAGAAGTAATAACGCCCGACAGGTCTTCATATTTCCCCGGAATTTACAACAAGCTTTACGTTTGTCATCCTTTCTAGTTGAAACTTATGAACTTATCCCGTTATTATAGAAACGAGGTAGCTTCTCTTACGACCACAGTCGAAGTCTCGCATATGAAAAGGCTGATTTACTAAATTCGCAAACTGCTGTTTTCTAAATTTAATTCGCACCACCGAAGAAGCCGACGAACTCCGAATTTTGTATACCATTAAAGAAAGCTCCGAAAAACACCCCGAATTCATTGTAAAAAAATTGCAGTGGCTTAGCTCGGCTATGCCAGGATATACGTAGCGTAAGCTTAGGTTCAGCTGGTAATTCTTAGCTTTCCTGGTTGTCTACGATTAGCTTGATTATCATGCTTACTGCTGCTTCAATGACACAGACGGTTTACGCATTATGTGACTACTTCGGGATCCGATGAGTTAAGCTTCTCTGCTCTTCTTATTGCGGAGGAGGCGCCGTGTAACCGAGCCTTCGGTTGCACGTCAAAAGATCCCCAGATGGTCCAAATTAATTCTCCGCTGGGGCGTGCCAGATGCCCGTCGTTGGTTTGGCCAGCTGTGCGCCGTGTTATGTATCAAGCAACCAAGCTGCCGCTCAGAACAACCGGACAGCGCGAGCCATGATCTCGAGCGGGTCCATGCGCGCGGCGCGTGCATCGGGGACTGACACGTGTGACGCAGCACGGCTCGCCAGAAGCCACGCGAAACTGCTCAACCTCGGGGGAGGCACTCACTTGATCGAATGACGTTTTAGCGAACGCCCACGTTTCATCGAACGACACTTTAGCGAATAGTCGGACGCCGCGAAGCGGCGTTTTCGGGTGGGCCAAGTGAGTTCATATTTTTGTAATGAGTTGCCGCAGACTGTCGCCGCGAAGCGGCGTAAAGCGCAGCGCGACGGATGGGTTAACGCGCGCCCCCGTTATTCGCTAAAACGACCATTCGCTAAAATGTCGCCGTTCGCTAAAATGTCATTCGCTCTTGTGATATGGACCCCAACCTCGGCCAGTGTAGCCTACGCTACAAAATAAACTCCGAAAAACACGCTCCGATTCTATTCAAAAATGAACTCCGAAAACACAGTACGCTACCTATAAAACGAGTCTATGCGCAGCCAAACCCCGGCGTAAAACAACGAGCGCGAGGCGCGCGTGAATCGCGCGCCCCGCCTCGGTTCAAAGCTGAGAAAAGTGGAGTCGACCGCCATCATTAGTTATCTCGACTGCATTTCGCTCAAAGTAGGTTGAGCGACACGAAAACGCTCAGAAGTAAACATATTGCGTTGAGGTGAATGATCCAATGAGTGGTTTAATTAATGATGAGGTGTACTCTGACCAACGGGTTCGAATAAAACAGATTTCATTGCTTCGGCAAGCTGCAGGTCGCCTCTTGAAGAGGTTTTTCAGGTGAGGCACTTACTTTTTTTTTATTTATTTGTTTACCTGACATACCCTCAGGGCCATCGGCATTACAGAGGTGAGCGGGAGTTAGAAGAGAACAGAACAAAGCTGTACACCTTGGAGCGCAGTCTGAGCTGTATAGATTATTTACGGCAATTTTAGACATATAGTAAGTGGCAATTGTGGCAACAGATGAGGGAAGATAGTTCCAGTCCCTGGAATTTTTGGGAATGGATGACTCTTGTTTTGGAATGTCTACTTTATATATATATGATGAAATCCGTGACAAAATATTACATGAGTGATTCAGCGGTCGGTTGTGAAGTATTGCGTTATTATGGTATCTCTTATGAAAGTGACATCATCGCGCTATTTTACGACGTAAAGTGAGGTAGGCAACGATAGGCTGGTTGCCATGGATCATAATTATTAAGATAAAACACACAAAACAATTTTGTACTGATCGAACGACGGTTAGCGAGCGAAACCTGGCCCACGACGTTTCATCGAATGACACTTTAGCGAATGGCGACGTTCATTTGACCGAATAGATAAAATGGAGGCCACCGCCGTCCTGTTTTCGAGCTTGCCGAACCTTTGGCGATGGACGCTCGAACTTGAGTTCATTTAATTTTCCCCAAACTATAGCAAAGCACCCCTTGCTATCGTTCCGAACAGACCGACTGGCGCGGTCTGTTTGGATGCCCAGTTTGCCGCCCCTACAAATGCCTAAAAGTCGACTCGCGTATGTGATTTCTATTCGCTAAAATGTAATTCGCTAAAACGTCTTCGTTCATATATTATGGACTCGTATTAATGTTTGTAAGATGTTTCACAAAAATCGTGCACGCAGGTTCGTGTCTGTCTCTCCTTTTTGCCCCTTCGGTGAGCGGTCGTTGGCAAAACTATAAGCGCCTTCTTTTTTTTTTCGTAGAAAAAACCGTGCGCAACAAAAGTAAAACAAAAAAAAAAGACAGGTTAGAAGATTTTGAGGTGGGGTCCCCTCCACAATCACAACGCCGACAACCAGGCGAAGTCTAGGGAGCCTTCATGTGCGCTTTGCTAGGGTGATGCCACCCTTTGTAATACCGCTCGCCGACAAACCAGCAGCCATTTTGGTTCTGGGCATCCGTGGGGCTTATAACTCTCCCGGAAACAAGCACCTTATCTCACAAGTTCGGAGCGGGGTAGTCAAGAAGCCGCTCGCTCTCCACAGCATGCGCACACGATGAAGAAAGCGCGAAACAAAACGAAAATAAAAGAAACGGGACAACAAAACTAAAAGCCAGAGGAAACTATAGCTAAACAAACAAAATGACAAGAGCAGGGTGCGTCGCCCGGCCCAGCCCAATACTCCCCCCCCCACGCACACACACACACAGACACACACTGAAACACACATCTGGAATCGTCAGCGCCGCTGCGAAAGAACTTCGAGGATGGCTGAGAGCCGGAGGCAGTGGCGGTGGCCGCGGCTGCAGGGGCCGACGCCGTTTTCCGTGACCTCGGTGACGCGGTGACTCGGTGAATGGCTGTGACTCGGTGAACGGCTGTGACTCGGTGAAGGGCCGTGAAGTCGAACCGGTCGAACGACTTCATGAACGGGATCAGTTCACGGACGTGAGGGGAACGACTTGCTGAACTCGATGAGCTCGTGATGGGACGGTGAGCGACTTCGTGAATTCAGAGTTGGCGGTGATGGGATGGGGAATGCTTCATGAACTCTATAGGATTCGTGATGTGACGGTGAAGTACTTCGTGAACTTGACGGATTCGTGAAGTGACGGTGAATGACTTTGTGAGTTCAGAGATTGCGGTGACGTGATGGGGATGAGTTTGTCGTCCGGTTGAACTCTGTGATGTGAATGGCCGTGACTTTCGGACGTCGTTGTACTTTGTGATGTGAAGGGCCGTGAATTTTAGACTTCGGTGTACTCTGTGATGTGAAGGGCTGTGACGTTTGGACGTCGGTGTACTTTGTGATGTGAAAGGCCGTGACTTTTAGACGTCGGTGTACTCTGTGATGTGAAAGGCTGTGACTTTTGGACGTCGATGTACTTTGTGTTGTGAAGGGCTGTGACTTTTGGATGTTGCTGTAATTAGTGATGTGATGGTGAGTGAGTGGGTTCGGAAATGCCGACCTATGGTAACAAGGGCCACAGTGTAGCCGTAACCATGGGGATTACCCTATGGCGACGATGTTTGAATGCTGCTCATAGATCGGATTCAAGAACTGCATGAACTTTCGATTTAGGCTCGTAATGTTCAATACCTCAACGAGCATTTGGGTAGCTCGTATCCAATCGCTGCATTGACAAGAATACCCGACCCGAAACAATGTACGAAACTTGGCGCATGCTCTGCGCTTTGCGAACCCCAGCACATGGCTGCGAAAAACACTGGCGGCATATAATTGCCACGAGATTAAGTGGCCCCTTGTTCTGGCTGCAAGTTGAGGGGGCAAACACCTTTCTCTTTTCTCCCAATTTTCTTTTTATTCTGTCGCTGCTTTTGCGCAGAGAAAAAAAGCTAACACGTGTTTCGCAGGTTATGAACATCAAGCATTCACTCTAAGCGGTATTTACTGAACGTACACAAAACTAGTAGCACTGCCTTTTTAGGGGCAGTGAGTCAAGGGAAAACAAGAGGGCATCGTCTCACCTTCTCATCAAGTCCATCACAGTCAATTTTCTCCTCGGTGACAGTGGGGATGTGGTTAGGCGTGAAGAGGTCGATGACAGACTTCGCCGAGGTCGGGGTTTGATCCACGATTGCCGACATCTTGAACGATCGTGCGTGCCTCTTTAAATGTTCTCTTTTTCCACTCGATTATATTATACTATCCGTTCACGACAGGTTCATAAAGAGAAGCCACGTAATAAAGACATGATCAAAGTCAGGAAAACTGTTTCCGCAACTCCTGCAAAGAAACGGAGATCGGACATGAGTATGCGCGTTCCAGATCCAAACTCAAAGTTCGAAACGCTAACTTGGCACTGCTCAAGAACCCAGGAGAGTTACGGCGCAGATTACAAACGGCACGAATCAGGCGCTTTCAAGAATTTTGTAGACGCGTGTCAGAAACGCCTGAGCCGAACGCGCGAACGAATCTAAAACCGCGACCGAAGTAGCTGTTATCTGACGCAAAGGATGCAAACTGTTGCGAGCGTCCACACAAGCTTTCCGTTCGCCGAAGTATCACCGATGCTGGTTCCGAAGATAGCACTTTCAACGCTGGCGCGGTCACCCAGTGGCAGGTGAATAGCAGCTTTGGAAGTGTCGGAACACCGACCTGACAACAATAAGTCGCGTTTGATTTCACGAACAAATTGTGACAAAGTTGAGAGGTAGAGAACTCTTTCGGAAATGCCAGCGACTCTGCGAGTCTCAACGCATACGCTTTGTCCACGGGTTCGAAACGGCTGCCTTGCGTTAAAAGCATATGCTCGTGTTTTGAAGAAAAAAGAAGGGTGAAGCTCTCTGCGAGTGAAAGTCACCATATTGTGCAATACAGAAACATCACATACGCCCGAACGCTGGCTGCGCGGAGTTTGAGGCGGGCACAAGTGAAAGCAGACGGTCACTGTGGCAGCGTTTTCGCGACATTTTCGCGGAAACGGATATATAGGTCGTGCTCGTAACACTCACAGTGATCGCGTGAGTTTTTCTTTTTCCCCCTTTTTTTTTCACTTTATAGTTTATGCTGTTGTTATATGCAGGCTGAAAAACGTCATAACACGCCACGACCGGCTGGTTGGCTGCTCGCTACGAAACGATCTCTAAGCAGCAGCAGCTAGAAGATGTAAATGAAACACTCATCAAATAATAAAAGCTACAATAAATGTAACACAAATGTTTTTGTTTAATTTTTTATATTAAATCTAACAACATATTAAGCCAAATTAAAACTAAAACTAAAGCGTCTTCAAGAAATTATAATACGAAAGTATTCCGTAAAAGTTTAAAAGCAATGGCCATAATCCACAACACGGCATTTAAACATGGCGGCACCCTAGCGCGGCCGAAAACGTCAGCTCTTTCGATCGAACAAAAACAGGCATAAAAAAGGAAGAGCAAAAAACAAGAGCGCCTCTCATCAAGATGCAACGAAACGTGTCGGACGAGCTGAATCGCGAATTCGGGAACGACGTCAAGAATCTGAGCAAAGCCAAGGCATACCATGCGGCACTGCTGGTCAAGAAACAAGAGATCGAGCAAAAGGTAAAGTGCCCGCTCCAAATCCTCGCCGAAGCAAACGAGCAAAAAGCACACAGAAAGAAAACTAGTCAATCTGTTGCACTGTGGTTTCCCCGCGACGGCTAACGTGTTGATCGCTCTCTGGCTGTTTTTCGATGGTCAGTTGCCGTTTCCGGTTGGAGCAAACCTTTCTCCTACTCCACATGGACCCATCCCACTTGGTAGTGTACGAAAGGCCGAGGAGTAGCTAAACGAAGAAACACTCACGGATTAGTGAGGACAACTTTTACACACCCTCCCCGTGCTTCTCGATTCTCAAACGTATCTAAGACGAAACAATTTGGCAGCAACCTTTTCTGATCTTCGCGGAGTGTTTTTGTAAGCCGGGACATATGTGGTTAACTGCCGGTAATTAGTTCGTTTATATATTTATCTATCTTCATTTTCGAATGCTACTGGCCCCTATGAAAAACCTATAACAATTGTGGCTCGCAGAAACAATCAAACAAAAAAGCCAAACTGAATATATCAAGTGCATTCCTGCTAAAAAAAGAAAACAAGCAAAAAATTACGAAACAATTTAAAAATGTTTATCCACACTCAAGTAATATTGAAGAAGACATTATCCAAGGCTCCTTTTCGTCATATGTTACTCTGAGGGGAACAAAATAAATGAGTGTACACTTCATTTGATGAAGCCTGCATCCATTGATGTAAGGTATTAAACAGCTGTAGATGTTACTGTAAGCATCTTCGATCAACTCGCACCGGAATCGCCCTGAAACCAGCACAGTGCACAGCGCTCCTCGGTCGTGCAGCGCGATGTCGGTGCAACGTCGAGGACAAACTGCGCCGCGCCGGTGCACCGCGGCGAGCTCCACCTTGCGTCACTTCGCGTTTTGTTCGTTTTTTCCTGCGTAGGTCAGCGCACGGTGCCCGTCTGCTGTCAATTTCTTCTATTTTTTTACTTACGGATTTGGCGGTCCCACAAAAATAAACATCATGGACGTGATTGTCGATGGGGTCACGAATCGGGTGACAATTCCACATGTATATGTTGGCCATCATTATTGGTTCAAGAAAACGAAACACCACTACCTCGCTGTCATCGAAACGCCTCGCGCCGCTTTCCACGAAGTTCGTGCTTTTCGGGCGCTCCTTGCCACCGCAGCAATCGCCAGTAATCGCGGCGATGGTGAGAAGCTCGTCGTCTCGCCGTCAGAAGACCCGAGGAAATCATCTAGTGCAGCTGCGAGGCGTGTTCGTTTTTGCAAGATCGGTCTGCGCGTCTGCTACTCCCGCCATCTTCTCGATTCCCGCTCCTGGCCGCAATGCCTGATGGGATTGCCCCCCGGTGCACCGCCGATTTTCTTGGTGCGCGTTGGGGCAACGAAAAGCCGCACCGGGAGGGTGCGCTTCGTTGATCGAGGACGTCCGGTGCGCACCGGTGCACTTGATCGAAGATGAAGGGGCGCACCTCAGTGCCCCGGTGCGCACCGGTGCGGGTGATCGAGGATGCTATAAGGTTCGGGCCAGCCAGTGAAATGTAGCAACAGGGTGACACCAAAACGAGGACGGACAAAGACAGGGCTACCACATCATCTTGGGATCAAGTTGTCACTTTTTTGCACATCAGCGGGATTGAGAAATATGTTAGAAATTGTTAATTATTACTGTGAACTGAATAACTCTTTTTCTTTTGCTGTGTTAAGCCAGAGTAAACTTGTTTCATTATGCCACAGCTAACCCAAGGTGTAAAGACCAAATCACACCTGTGTGATGAACCGTGTAACCGAGGTTGATATTTACTTCTTACTTGGTACTTGCAAAATGCTGATGTGCTCGTCCTGTGTGTTCCTTCATCCAGCAGTTGATGTGGTGACAGAATCATTTGTTAATTAAAACTGATACTTTATTTTGTGGAGCTGTTTTTATAACTTGTAATAATAGAATTTCATTGATGTTATTGTTGTGTTTGTTTGTGCATGCCTCGAGGCATATATTTTTATCTGATTACTTTTCAGTAAAAAAAATAATAATAATAATAATAATCATTTTTATTATTAGCAAAAAAAACAAAACAAATAAAGATGTATACACTGGACCTGGATTCATAAACGAAAGACTAATGACGAATCTGTGAAAAAGTGTTATAACGAGAACTTAACAATTCAGGGCATAGATAAACAAGCATAAGAAGTAATCACTACTACAACTACTACTACTAAAATTATTATTATTATTATTATTATTATTATTATTATTATTATTACTATTTTTGACTGAAAAGTAATCAGATAAAAATTGTGATGCAGCTAAAGATATCCAAGGGCAGTGACCCAGCACTGCTGAAGTATTATTAGTCTTTGGTTATGGACCCAGATCAGTATGTATATTTGTATTTGTATATTTTGATGATGACAGTGATGATGATAATGATGATGATAAATGATAATGCAGCTCAAGATCTTTAAGAGTGGCCACCCAGTGCAGCTGAAGTGTCACTAATCTTTGGTTACGGATCCAGATCAGTGTGTATATCTGTATATGTTTTTTTGTTGGTAATAAGAATGATAATGAATGACAGTAATGATAGTGGTAATGAATAATGACAATTATAATTATAATGATGATGATGATGGCAGTGTACCTGAAGATCTCCAAGGGCGACAACCCAGTGCAGCTGAAAGTTGTCCTGGGCTTTGCTCGATGATGACGACAATGACAGTGGTGCCGAATAACGACGGTTAATGGCGATGCAGCTGAAGATCTCCAAGGGCGGTGACCCGGCGCAGCTGAAGGGTGTGCTGGGCTTTGCTCGTGACTCCCTGGAGAAGATGCAGCTCCTGGAGGGAGTGCACGGCAAGATCCTCAACGATGTGTCGGCCCACCTGGACAACGCCAGCCTGGTCAAGAAGGAGTTCGAAAGCTCCTTGGCGGACATCCAGAAGCTGCTCCGCCTCAAGCAGTACCTCCAGTGGATCGCAAAGATCGAGGAGACCAGGCGAGCAGTTTCTTATTTTGTCTTGCGTTGGAAGGGGCATGAGTGGGTGAATGAAGTCGGAACTAGAGACACTAGCTAAAGTATGCTCAGAGCAGGGGCTCAAACAACTGGGTTTCTGGTAGGGTTCCTCCCCAGAGCACCGCCATTAGTCTCCCAAGCTCCCAAAGTTTCTCAACCATCCCTGCCCCTAAGTAAAGTGAGTTTCCGGTTTAAGCACTACACTACCACATCAAAACCTCACGGTTGTTCTGGGGCGCTAAAGAAATAAAGGATTATTAGCAAATATGAGCCACCCAATAGTGTGTAACTATGAATCAAAAACTCCCTAATATGTATGTTATTGTTTACAAGGTTTGTAGGCTCTCTTACTAATTTATTGCATCAGCGTCGAGACCGGCAGGGGTCCCTTGACTACCATTCAGTGCAGGTAAGTATTCCTTGAGATTGAAAAGTTTCAGAACCCCTGGCATAGATGATATGCTATATACTCATCATCAATGTTTTTCTGCTAGTTGTCGAGGATAGCATAGTTTCTTCAGGGTTCCCTATCGTTTCATCAAAACAGATTTTGCAGAAACACATTTCGTGGACAACTTTCTGTGGACACATGTTTCGTGGACAGATGTTTCGTCGACGCTGCACATTTCGTGGGAACTCGTTTCGTGGACACATGTTCCTGCAACGTTTTGTCGACAAAGTTAGCGCACGGGATTCACCGAGGCGTGCTTACCCAAGCCTTGCCCTCTTTCCGTAAACCAGGGAGACGCAAAAAGTCTCTTGCAAAAACAGCAGGGTTGCATTCGACGAGACATAGCAAGGTCTGCCGACGAAACGTCATTCGACAAACTGATTGTTCGTCGAATGAACGAATTCCTTCCTGCAGCGCTGTCCGAGATGCTTGCATAAGTGCAGCGAGACGAAAGATTAAGCCTTATGCGGCAGTGCGGCGCTGCAGCATCATAGAAACTAAGCTAGCCTCAGTAGTGTAGCCCGAAAATGCCGGCGCCACATACAAGTCGAAACTAAGAGAAGTATCAAACATGGGGCCAAATGCCGAGCACACTATGCTCGGCGCCATTCTTTTTGTGCATTCGGCCCCTCGCCACTGCGCGAGCTTGTCTCGCATATTAACACACTTCGTTATGCTGCGTCTATGGGCAGTTTTACAACCGACGCGATTTGTTAACATCGGCGGTGCCACAGAGTCCGGAACGCGTCTTCGAACGATGTGTTTGCTGCATCCCAAGACGTGGTCTCTCAATTTCCGCCAAACGACGTCGTACAAGCGTCGCGTCATCGCCGGCCGCAACCCTGGTGGCGGTGCGGCGGCGGCGGTGATGCGGTAGACGCCCGTTTTGCTGTGGGTTGCTCTCCAGCTCGACGGTCTGCAGAAGCTCCGGGATACGGGACGCCGTGACGATGGCAACACTCGCATTCTCGCAATATTTTTTTCCGGAGCTTCTGCGCCCAGCCGGCAGGACTGTAGCTTCTGACGGTGCAATGCTTTAGCTTTTGCGGCGTTGCTCGTTGTCGCTTTGGGACCCCTTTTGACGAAGGGGAAAGACGTGACGCCAAGTACGCTGGTCAGAGACGTGCATTTGTAACGATGGCCATCTTCCGCAGCGAGTTCATCGAGGAGGCGGTGAACCAGGGCCAGGACGACCAGGCCGTGTCCCACGTGGCTTTCCTGCTTCGGGTCTGGAGTAGGCTCCAGGCGTCCGCCTGCAGCCACCTGGTGGCCTTCCTGCGCGAGACCATCCTCTATTGGCACCTCGTGCTCAGGGAGAAGTTCGAGAAGTGAGCGAGCCTTCCGGAGTCGAGCGCATTTCGCCTCATTAGTTCCTCGGGTCGGAATTATTCTTGCTAGAAACGAAACAATCAATTAGTGGTCATAAACAAAATTGATCGTCGAAGCGTCCATGAAACAAAAATTAAGCAACACCAAGAGTGCCGCATCTTAGAGGAGCAGTTTTAGAATCTGTATCCATGTGCAGCGTCCTGCTTTGAAAGATGGCGGCGTCTGTAAATCTCTTTTCGTGACTTTCGTTTGCAGAACTGTTGCAATCGTTCTCTGAGGATTGATCACAAACCTTTCCCAGGCCTCTTTTGGGGTCCTCTTTTCTGCTAAAATCACCTTCGGCGTCACTAGAATCGCTAACATATTTTTGGTAGAAAGCGAATGGAGAAAAAGCTGCCCTAATACCCGAAGTGTGAATTTGTGCGCAAAAAATTGTGCTTTTTCAGGAAAAAAAAAAGTAGAAAGAAGTAGCATTACTTGTGCCATCTCACGTAGAACTAACACATTGAACGCATCATGCTTACGCTCCTGATGATAGATGGCGCAAGTCGGAATTCTCGGGTGAGCGCGATAGTTGATCGCATTGAGATTATTTCTTTGTCGTGTGTCATCCGACACATGACCTCGGAGTGTCTCATCCGACAGATAATTTCGAAGGGTTAAAGGGATGGTGAACCGAAATTTGGATTTCAGAAAACAATGCAGGAGCTGTAGGCGGGACGCTACAATACCTACAACACTACTAGTAAGGTGATATCTCAAATGGACGGCCGTATTTTTGGAAAAAGAGGTCGAGATTGAACGAGGCCGATGAGGCGCGTGACGTCAAGATATCTCGTTTCCTCTTCTCTTTGCTTCGCCCCCTCAAGGCGGTGAGGCGGAGAAGATGCGAGACCGTTCCCTCTCCTTCTCGGAGAAACGAGACGTAAACATATATGTCGAATGCGCCTCCTTTTTTGAAAAATACGGTCATCCGTTCGAGATTTGGCTGTATGAGTGATGTTTTTGTGTTTGTAGCATCCCGTTGCACGCTTTTGCTGCCGTGTTTTGTGGAATCCAGATTTTGGTTCAGGTAGGTGGATGGATGGATAAATGCTAGGTGGATGGATGCTAACAGCCGTTAAATTAGCATCCATCCAGGTAGGGCTCCACGTTCTTGGAATTCACTTCCCATAAAATTCGCAGGGTGTTTTTCTGAGTTTATCCGAGTTCATTAATGATAGATCCCTGGTTCTCCAAAATTCTGAGTTTTATTTTGCTGCGTAAAAACAAATATTATCCATGCATAAACCTGCCTTAAAATCATAAGAACTCGCCTCTATTGAATGGTATTTCTTCAGCTGGATTGAGCATTTCTGCCCTTGCCATTGTCAATACTAACTGTCCCACAACAACACTTGCAAAGAAGTGTTGCATTAATAAGCATCGATACTTTATAATCACTGAAATCCTTGACATGGTTTTTGGGAAGCTTATTTTCTTCCCATCCTATTCCGCCGCTCCACCCTGAGGCTGTGCAAGGTGGAGCGGTAAGATAGAACCTTTAGCATCTCCCTTCCCTTCTATGGTCATAACTTTCACTGTAGACATATGCGAATAGTAGATTTAAAGTTCAAAGCGAGTGTGAAATGAATAGTGGTTTTGGCCGAATATTGTTGAATCGAATATCGAATAGCTTCTCTAAGCCTCTTACTACCGTGCACCATGCCTAAACGAAATTTCAGCTCTGAGCTCAGTAAAGTTTAATATAGCTATGTTTATAAACTATGGCATAGAAATGGCAAAATTGTCACAGTTATTCTCATCGAGGGCATTCAAAAGTCTTACTATATGGAAAAATTCTTCCTTCAATTTCAAATTTGACACACACAAAAAAAGAAAAAGCATGAACGATGAGCATGGGTTGTCAGGACATACTCTTGCATAATTGCGGGGCTTATCCCGTTAAGTGCACTTCTCGCCGAGCACCTATGTACTGCGGGAAAGCAATACCCACGGAGCCCGCAACCTCCACCGGTGTTGCTTCCCCGCACTGCACAAGCGCTCGGTGAAAAGCGCACTCAATGGGACTAACTCGTTGCAATCAACACTTCGAAAAGGATGAATATCGAAGTTCATCTCGAAGCGAATATCGAATAGCATGTTATTCGAATCTACTATTTGAATATTCAGGCAGCACTGCTTCACTGTTACAAAAACACAATTCTGCCACCTTTTTCCTCTAAAACTAGAACAGTACCTTTTATCGTGACCCAAAATTACAATAGCCCTTTGTTCCGAACAAGACTTAAACACCCTTTCGTCAATAGTCCGAGATTTGAAAGGAAACTAGAGTACTTGCCTCAGGACCACTGACCCTGTGTTCCATCCAAGCTTATGTGTAGATTATTGTGTTGTTTTCCAATTGTGCCAGTGCGACATTGAAATTTTGGGTTCATTAGATAAATCTGAATTGACAAAAACTTTGCAGACGAGTGTTTTTATGATTTTGTTAGGTTTATCCAAAAACTCTGAGCGCCTTTTCGCTTCTGTTAAGCCTCATTCCGGCACGTTGACGAACAGCACACGTCACTTTCCCTGCATACAGATGACTGGTTATTGGTGTCATTTTTGATGTCGGTGAAATGCACGAGCATGGCAAGCGTGAGAACCTGTTTGGGAAAAAGTGCTGAAATTATCTGCACTGCTTAGTAAAGTCTGAAGCGGCGTGTCAGCATGTCTGACTTTTCTGAGCAGCATGCGTCCCTCGTATGTTCTGCAGGGAGTTTGAGAAAGTGCTGCAGAACATGGGCTGGCCCATCCTCAACACGGGAGTGAGCGCGCCCGTGACGTACACCCCAGAGCTCCTGCTCCCATTTGAGAAAGCCTTTGTCAACCTCCACAAGATACAGCTGCCGTATCCTTTCCTCGCCATTTGGGCCAGGTGCATTGACAAGTGGAAAGTACCCTAGAACAGTGTGGCCAATTTTGCGTAGTGGGCTGTCGTAGGCCGACCGACCCTTTAGTCAAATTGGAATCGTAGCCACAGTCGGTTCGGTGAAAATTGGCCTGACATGCATTATGGCAGACCGAGCCATTGATGGATTATTTGCTTTTTTGCCCGATGAACATTATTGCCCATTGAGTTATAGTTAACTCAAAAACACCGACTTGAGGGCATTATGGCCGACTGGACCATAGCTGGCTCAGGTACTCAGTGGCATAACTGATACTACTTCTCATTCCACCGATGTTACTGAATGAACCAATAAGCATTATGGCCAATTATGTCGTAAGAGACCCCTCAAACCAGTGAACATTGGTCAAAGTATGTATTACGGCCAATTAGGCCATACTAGGCCCGGTGGGTGTGATTATTTTAGTGGGGAATGGATTAAGGACATTAATACAATAAACATTAAAACGGGCTGAGGAGTTTCCAGTCGGAGCATTTATTAGTGCAGTATACTTTCAAAGCAGTTTCGACCCAAATTTCGTGAATGCAAACATTATGTAGGTTGTGGTCTCTGTACTTGCAGTTCCGTTCCACTTTGATGGGACTCGAAGGTGTACACAGCAGACACATACTATACGAGTTACCGTATATATTTCAACAGCTTGTCTCCCGCAAAGCCTCGTGAAGCACATAAGGCATCGTGCCAAACAGACGTGATGTCTTTTCACGAGGCTTTGAAGTTTCTCGCCCCCATGCCCAAAAGTGGCCTAAATGAAACACCCTTGACCGAGAGGCGGGCAGCGAGGCCCTCGCAGGTGCCAAGCAGGAAGTGGGGGCGACGACGTCCGTGCTGCCGCTGGAGCTGATGTTGCGGCCGCTCAAGAAGCGCTTCCTCTTCCACTTCACCGGGAAGCGGCAGACCAACCGGCTCGACAAGGTGAAGGAGACGTCTCGTGCGCAACAGACCATCTCACAAACGCATTCCTAGACCACTCCGGAAAGAGGTTTCTAGAGCCTTCCGGAAAAATTTTCTAAAATGTAGACCGGAGATTATTAAACCCTTTGATCTCTAGGAACCCTTATATACCTTGAATGGCCGCCAAGAAACCTCTCCCGGCATTGAGGTAATAATGCTTACTGTGTAGGAGCCTATTGACTCTGAAAACAGTAATGCACACACCATACTCCGTTCACCCTTAGACTGAGACTAGAAGCTCCGCCTTCAGCGCGAGCTCGCTGGCTTCAGCATTGCTTTGGTTCCGCACGCCTGCGCGTTCACGCTTGTGTTAGCAAGGGCAGAAAGCTCGCTCTGAAGGCGGAGCTTCTAATCTCAGCTAAAAGAGCGACCGGAGTATAGGGAGTGTATGGCTTATAGTTATGCATCAGTCTAGATGACCTAGATCTGCTCAATTTAGCTAGAAGAACTTTTTGTTTGGAGGCAGGGCGACCGAGGAAACCCACCAGGTTACTTTGGGGAACACCTGCATTCTAATTAAAGAACCCACGATCTAGACCAGTGGTTCTCAACCATGGAAGTTTTGCGGGCCCCCTGTGGATTGGCGGAGATGATGGAAGAGCCCATTCATGGTGAGGGGAAGTGAAAGGTATAAGTTAATTATGATAATGATTTAATAAACGAATATACCTAATGGCAAATGTGAAGTATACTTCGCTCATTAACACACACACGAGAAAACTTGCCCAAAAATTGGGATGTTTCTCCTCAATCTGAACAAAGACAACTTTTATTCCTGGGCTTGACGTACGAGATGGGGCATCGTGGATCTCTAGAACTCCTTCGCGGACCCCCAATTGAGAACCGCTGATCGAGACTATTGCAAAAACAGGTTTCTCAAATCTAGACCATTGCAGAAACGAGCTTCTATACAATTGCAGAAGAAGCAAACACCTAAACCATTAAAAAAATCACATTTTAGTGCATTCCTGAAGCTCGCAGCTTCATCAATGGTTTTCTGTAGTCTGCAGGATGATACTTTCTACTATATTTTTTTTCTCTCTCGATTTTATGATTTTTTGTCTTTGATGTTGCAGCCAGAGTGGTACCTGAGCCAGATCCTGACCTGGGTCAGCGACCACGGCGAGTTCTGCGACCGTTTCGTCCAAGCCGTCCTCGTCAAGGCAGGCGTCGAGGGTGTTCAGGCTAGGGTAGGTGTCCACCTGGGCCTCGGTGTTACGGTATGGTGCCTGGAGTGCATCTCCCATTGGTGGATATATCGTGTCCTCATTTGTGGTCCCACGATTTTCATCTGACGTCACATTTGTGTCATGCTGCTGCCTGCCACAATCCTGGCGGCGGCACAGCGGTGGAAGTGGATACCGCAGACGCCCGTCCTGCCGTAGGTCGCTCTCCGGCTCGGCCGTTTACCGAAGCTTCAACAGCCACGAGCTAGATCGTTGAAACAACAAAAACGCTGCCGTTCGGTCGTCTTTATTGCCGGAACTTCTGCCACCAATTGCCAGGATGGCAACATTCGAAGGCACGACACGCCTTTTCGTGCGACATAACTCGTTGCCCCTCTGGGACCACTTTCGGCGCACGGGCGGCACGGGGCACGAAACACATTAGTCGAAGATTCCATCTATGCTTGGCGTCGGCTATTTCACTCTACGTTCTTGAGGGTAGTCTAGCTCCCGCGGTGCATTCAACGTGTCATAGCTACTTGCGTGGGCGCGTGCGAATTCAATAGCCGGAGACGTGCTCTCGCCGCAGTGCGCTCCGCACTGCGGCGAGAGCACGTCCCCGGCTGTGGAACTGTGGAACCTACGCTAGCCTCTACAGCATGGCGCAGAATAGCCAACACCGTGTATAGTTATAGTTACGTTATAGTGAAAGTGCTTGACTGTTCCTCTACTCAGCATCCAGCATCTCCTCCGCTACTTCACAAAGACCTTTGCAGTAAGTACACTGCGCAACACTGTTGGTGCGAACGCGGCTATGGCACTTTTTTGCACTTTACTTAGGTTAGTGGCCCAACTCAGTGCTTTCCACCACTAAAGTAATTCCGGTGGCAGTTCTTCAATACTGAGAGGAAAAACAAAGAGAGCCAGCGATGGCTCAAACACGCCAACGACGTGTTGCCTCTCAAATGTCCGCAGTTGGAGCTGATGCGGGGGCTGGTCCAGATCGGCATCCACAAGTTTCAGATGGACCTGCCGTCGCTGCTGTCGGACGACCACCTGCTCACGCACGCCATCGAGGAGGTGCTCCTCTTCGACCGGGAGCTGAGGGCGCAGGGCTACCCCCCGTTCTACCCCTGCATCCTCAATGTGCTCACGGCCGACCACTGCTTCATACGCTGGATCGCCCTCGAGAAGAAGTGTACGTGCAAGTCCCAAAGGGGCTGTCCTTGCGCCTCTGTTGAAGCCTTATCATTATAGGACAGAGTGAAAGTAACGTATTTATAGAGTAGAAGCTGATGCTTACTTATATATTGTCACGGGTGGTGAGTCGTGACCAATAAACAAGAAATAAACAGAAATAAATGAACGTTTAATGTGGCGAACTTGTGCCAAAAATAAAGAAGGAAACAGAAGAAAGCAGAGCGTCGCGGGCGTCGAAGTCGGCGTGTCAGCAGAATCGAGCGCTAGGGCGAGACTGACTCGACAAGGTCGCGGGCGGCCTCTTATCTAGAGTGCGCCGCTATCTCGAAGATTCGGCGAAAGCGGTTCGAGCGTCGCGTGATCGGGGCGAGAATGAACACGCACTTTCTAGAAAACAAAAGCAGGGATAAATGATAGAAGTTACGTGCGGTACATGAATAAACGGGAACTTTCTGGAGGACCGTGACCGGGCGTTGCTTTCTCAGCCTTGCGCGCGGCATTACTCCCCCCTTTAAAAGTGCATCGCCCCGATGCAGTGTAAAACAAATCAAAATAAAAAAGAACGATAAACTAAAGAGTCTTTTGGAGCACAAAAGGTCCACAGTCCTATCGAGCGTAGTACGGCTTCAGGCGCACGACGTGGACGACCTCAGGTCGTGGTGGGCGGCGTGACGATGTTCGTGTTCCGTCGGGCATCACCTCGTAGTTCAGCTCGCCGAGGCGACGAAGTACCTTGTATGGTCCAAAGTACCGTTTCAGCAGTTTCTCACTGAGGCCGCGGCGACGGATGGGCGTCCATACCCACACCCTATCTCCGGGCTGGAAGTGGACGTCCCTGCGACGAAGGTTGTAGCGGCCGGCGTCGACGCGTTGCTGGTCTTGAATAAGGAGTCGGGCGAGCTGGCGAACTTCTTCGGCGCGTTGAGCAACCCCCTGGGCGTCGTCGCTCTCGTTGTCAGATGGCTCATGGGGCAGCATGGCGTCCAGCATGGTCGTTACCTTCCGACCATGTACCAGCTGGAAAGGGGTGAATCCAGTGGTCTCTTGAACCGCCGTATTGTAGGCGAACGTGACGTAGGGCAGCACCTCGTCCCACGTCTTGTGCTCTACGTCGACGTACATAGAGATCATATCGGCGATTGTCTTGTTGAGTCGCTCGGTCAGTCCGTTGGTCTGCGGGTGGTATGCAGTGGTTCGACGATGGCCGGTGCCACTGAGACGAAGGATCTCTTGCGTCAGCTGGGCCATGAACGAAGATCCGCGATCTGTAATCAGAACCTCGGGAGCGCCGTGCCGGAGGACGATGGACTCGATGAAAAACTTGGCGACTTCCACAGCAGTCCCTGAAGGAAGAGCTTTCGTTTCGGCGTACCGCGTGAGATAATCTGTGGCGACGATGATCCAGCGGTTCCCCGACGTCGAAGGCGGAAAAGGACCAAGTAGATCCATTCCGATCTGCTGGAAGGGTGTAGTTGGAGGAGAAATGGGCTGCAGAAGTCCGGCCGGCCTCGTCGGCGGTTTCTTGCGTCGCTGGCACTCGTGGCATGATCGTGTGTATAGGTGGACGGTCTTGGGGAGCTTCGGCCAGTAATACTTTTCACGAATACGGGCCAGTGTCCGGCTGTAACCAAGGTGTCCGGATGTTGGGTCGTCGTGGCAGGCTTGGAAGATCTCCTCTCGAAGGTCACTCGGGATTACCAGCAACCAAGGCGTGTTGTTGTTGCCGAAGTTCTCTTTGTAGAGTACACTTTGTCGGATGGCGAAGGTCGGCAGTACTCGTGAGAAGACACGTGGCACGGTACTCCTGCCCCCTTCCAGGTGCTCGATTAATGCGCGCAGCTCAGGATCGTCCCGTTGACGTCGTGCCATATCGTCGGTGTTCACTGCTCCTAGAAAGCACTCGTCGTCATTGTCGTCGCTGCAGCCGGAAGGGGTTTCGACGGGGGCTCTGGACAGGCAGTCGGCGTCGCTGTGCTTGCGGCCTGACTTATAGACCACTGTCATGTTGAACTCTTGTAGTCGAAGACTCCATCGAGCGAGGCGTCCTGACGGGTCCTTCAGCTTCGCAAGCCAGCAGAGCGAGTGGTGGTCCGTGACTACACGGAACGGGCTGCCGTACAAGTACGGACGAAACTTCGTTATTGCCCAGACGACCGCAAGGCATTCTTTCTCAGTTGTGGAGTAATTTTTCTCCGCCTTGGACAATGTCCGACTTGCGTAGGCGATGACTCGCTCGATGCCTTCTTGCACTTGGACTAGTACTGCGCCCAGTCCCGCGTTACTTGCGTCCGTGTGAATTTCTGTTTCCGCATCCTGGTCGAAATGTCCAAGCACAGGAGGAGTCTGGAGTCGTCGTTTCAGTTCGTCGAATGCCTGCTGTTGCTCCTCGGCCCATTCGAACTTCTTGGCGTCCTTCGTGAGATTCGTAAGTGGTGCGGAAATCCTTGCGAAATCCCGAACGAAGCGTCGATAATAGGCACAAAGTCCAAGGAATCTTCGCACGGCCTTCTTATCTGTCGGCGCTGGAAATGCCGCGACGGCGCGAGTCTTCTCGGGGTCTGGGCGGACGCCTTCGTTACTAACCACGTGGCCAAGGAACTTCAGTTCGTCATAGGCGAACCGGCACTTTGACGGCTTGAGTGTGAGTCCGGCGGTCTGAATGGCTTGAAGAACAGCTCGGAGTCGTCTCAAGTGCTCGTCGAAGTCAGCTGAAAATACTACGACGTCGTCAAGGTAGACGAGACAACTCTGCCACTTCAGCCCTGCCAGTACGGTGTCCATGACACGCTGGAAAGTTGCTGGCGCTGTGCATAGTCCGAAGGGCATCACCTTGAACTCGTACAGTCCATCCGGCGTGACGAAGGCTGTCTTCTCTCGGTCCCGTTCGTCGACCTCGATTTGCCAGTAGCCGCTTTTCAGGTCCATCGATGAAAAGTATCGAGAGTGGCGCAGCCGGTCTAGAGTGTCGTCGATGCGGGGGAGTGGGTAGACGTCTTTCTTCGTAACCGTGTTGAGCAGCCGGTAGTCCACGCAGAACCGAAGAGTTCCGTCCTTCTTCTTAACCAGCACGACTGGGGAGGCCCATGGACTGCTTGAAGGTTGGATTATGTCGTCATTCAGCATCTCTTGAACTTGCTGATGGATCACCTCCCTTTCCTTAGCGGAGACTCTGTACGGCGATCGATGCACAGGGCGCGCGTCGTCCTCAGTAACGATGCGGTGCTTGGCAACCGCGGTCTGGCGCACCTTCGACGACGTCGCAAAGCAATCGCGGTATTCGGCGAGGAGGTTAACCAGCTGACGCCGTTCAGGGTCCGGAAGCTTAGGGTCAATGTCGAGCTGCGCTGGCGACGTACTGTCTTGCTGGGGCGGCAAGGATTCGTCAGTGATCGCAGTGATTTCGGCGGGGTTTCGGAGTTTCTCGACGTGGCCCACGGCTGCACCTTTCGTGAGGTGTTGCGTTTCGTTTCGGAAGTTCGTCACGAGGGCCACAGTCCGCCCATCCTGAAGTTCAGCCACTCCCCTTGCGACGCCTATGCCTCTTCCCAGGAGCAATTGGAGGCTTCCCTCGAGAAGAACTTCGCCACAGGAAGCTTCATCGATCCCGACAAGTACGAAAACACTCGACCGCGGTGGTAGGTTTACGTGGTTTGCGAGGACTCGGACCGTGGGTGACGTCGCTTCGGGTTCCTCCGCTGGTGGAGCAGGTTTTCGTAGCGTCAGCCGGTTTGTTCCGAGGTCGATGACGGCGCCATACTCGCAGAGAAAGTCCATTCCGAGGATAACGTCCCTCGAACAGTCTTGCAGAACGACGAACTTGACAGGGCACGTTTCACCGTGGATCTCGACGCGAGCAGTGCATCTCCCGACTGGTGTGATGAGATGTCCTCCGGCGGTTCGTATTTGGGGTCCTTCCCACAGCGTCATGACTTTTCGAAGGCGGCGGGAGAGCCTCCCACTCAAGACTGAGTAGTCTGCTCCGGTGTCCACGAGTGCTGATGCGTCGTGACCGTCGATGACGACGTTTAGGTTGTTGGACACCGTTGCAGGGGCGTCGTAGCGATGCGTGGCGTCGGGAGAGTGGGAGCGCTCCGGCGTTCTTGGAGGCTCTTTACGTCGGTCGTCTTCGGCAACTCCACCTCCAGGGGTTGCCGCGCCTAGTTTCCCCGGCGAGGAGCGAGGGGCGACAGGCTTTCACGTCGGGGTCGGTGCATCGGCGAAGCTGGACGTCGTGGCGATGGCGACCGGAACTCTCGGCGGGACGCAGGCTCGGGGGACTGGGGTCGTCGCAGGTACTCGTCGATCTCCCGAGGGCGTTCACCACACCGGGGGCGCGGGTCGTTTGGGTGGAATCCGCGCAGCCCGAGTCGTCGGTATGGGCATCGGCGGTACACATGGTCGGCTTCCCCGCAGTGGTAGCAGAGCGGGCGTCGGTCGGCCGTTCGCCACACGTCGGTCTTCCTCGACGAGGGTTGCTCCGGGCGAACGTCGTGGACTTGTCCTTCCTGGCGTCGAGGATACTGTGGCATCGGAGGGTCTCGTCGGGGTGGCGCCGTGGTCTGGCGGTTAGCTTGCGGCGATCTTCGGGCCATGGCGGCGTAGCTCAAAGTAGGCTCCTCTGGCGTCGTCGTTTTGAACGGAATCTCAGGTTGGAAGGCTCGGTGGACTTCCTCTCGGACGAACTCGGCGAGCGACAGGGAGGACGAGCGATCCGTAGCGGGGAGCATCTTGCGGATTTCTTCCCGGACGACTTCTCGGATGATGTCACGGATGCCTGGGAGGTCGGTACCAAGGTCGTATCCGGATGTCGCCAGAGTAGTCACGCCAGGGTGCCGCTCGTAGTGTCTGGCGCGTGCTAGTAGCGCACGCTCCATATTCGTCGCCTCCGTGACGAACCCGTCGACAGTTGTCGGAGGATTGCGAATGAGACCTCCGAATATCTCGCTTTTGACACCCCTCATCAGGTGTCGCAGCTTCTTCTCCTCTGTAGCCTGAGGATCGGCGCGGGCGCTCAGGCGAAGAACATCCTCAACGAAGCTGGTGATGCTTTCATTCAGACCTTGGGTCCTCGTTCGAAGGATGTCTTCGGCCCTCTCGCGTCGGTGTTGGCTGGTAAACGTCTTCACTAGCTCTTGCTTGCACACCTCCCACGAGGTTAAAGAAGCCTCGTGGTTCTCCAGCCAGTACCTTGCAGTACCTTCCAGCGAGAAGTAAAGGTTCTGCAAGCAGTGCTCAGCTGACCACCCGTTATGTCGGGCCACACGTTCATAATGTTGCAGCCAGTCCTCGATGTCCTCGTTGGTGTCTCCGTGGAAAGGCGTCGGAGTTTTGGGTGCGACGGGCAGGTATACGACGCTGGCGGTGGACGGGTTCTGGGACGACTGGCTGTCCATCGTTGGCCTCGTTGGCTGCTTAGTCTTGGGCGGTAGAGGTCCGAATTCCGGGTGTAGACCTTGGGTGCGACGACTGAACCGGATCTCGGAAGTGCTTTCGTCGGTTCTTCGTGGGCTAGGCGTCGGACTTGCACTGTGGGCCCTCGGAGGGGTACGCGGCAGGGGCATGCGGTACCCCGCACCTCCACCAGAATGTCACGGGTGGTGAGTCGTGACCAATAAACAAGAAATAAACAGAAATAAATGAACGTTTAATGTGGCGAACTTGTGCCAAAAATAAAGAAGGAAACAGAAGAAAGCAGAGCGTCGCGGGCGTCGAAGTCGGCGTGTCAGCAGAATCGAGCGCTAGGGCGAGACTGACTCGACAAGGTCGCGGGCGGCCTCTTATCTAGAGTGCGCCGCTATCTCGAAGATTCGGCGAAAGCGGTTCGAGCGTCGCGTGATCGGGGCGAGAATGAACACGCACTTTCTAGAAAACAAAAGCAGGGATAAATGATAGAAGTTACGTGCGGTACATGAATAAACGGGAACTTTCTGGAGGACCGTGACCGGGCGTTGCTTTCTCAGCCTTGCGCGCGGCAATATGAATCAATTTTTTGAAATCAATATTTATTGCAAACCTGGTAACAGCAGTGCAAGAGGACGTCGTCAATATACTGGCTGTTGTGACAAAATAGGACACCGCATAAAACCCTATGCCTAGATATAAGCTTGAGCTGATCAGCACTTTGAAGGAAAACCCTTTGCATCGATCACCGCTTGGCATCGACGATGCATGGAATTCAGCAAATTGTCGATGTTGCCACCAGGGGTCCGTTGCTGCGACACCTACCGGTGTCGCAACAACCGACCCCTGGTGGCTAAAAAGGCTGCATTATGATACACCATACCAAAACAAAATATTATTGGCTATTCACTAGTTGTCGAGCAATACTTCTGTAAAAGAAATGAAATATCATATCTTTTTGTTCACTACAGTATATGTATGCACGATATATGGTGAGATGAGGCAGATTACATCACCGACTTTTCAAACGTGGTGGCCTTTCTGAATGGGCAGATTTGAGGACCCCTCAATCGAATCGGATTTATCCGTGAAACTAACGCACTGTTTACAAAACAAATTTAGCACAAATATAGTAACATTAAGTGGGTTCGGGCGATATAGTTATCTCGGTTCTTATTTTTTGCGCACCCTGACCCCTTTGAGACGAATCCTTCCGCCGTGCTGCTGGGGTGCAGATGCAGACGAGAAGCGGGACCGGCTGCTGACGTCTCCGACGGCGTGGAAGCCCCAGTACCAGACGGAGGGCGACCTGGACGACATGAAGATCCCAGAGTGTGCCGAGGCTTTCATGATGGTCCTCTCTGCCATGACGGGTGGGTGGTGGTGCAAGACTCTACTCAGTTTTGGAAGCTTTCATTCGTGCTTAGATTTGGCGCTGAATGAGTTAGGTTTTAATTGCATGAGAGCCCATTTCGTGAACCACCTTGCGTCTGCTTTGGAGGGAAAGAGGTGCTGCGCAGTTCCGATGTTAGAAGCATGTTCCGTGCAATTTCGTCTACTTTAAAGAAAGCAGGTGCCGCACAGTTCTCTTGTCTGCTTCAAAAAATTAGGTACTACATAATTTTGACAATACTGAAAGTATTAGTAAACACGGGGATGGGCGAAACGACACATTATTCTGAGAATGTGTCGTTTTGTCCGTCTCTGTGTTTATACTTTCAGTATCGTCAGTTGTGACCAATATGCTCACCTTCGATTTCAATTTGTCATTTGCTTTATTGAAAGGACAGTCTATTACCCCCATTTTTTCGCAAAACTTATTTCTCCCAATATGTTCTATTGGTTTTGTATTGAAAATTCTCGCAGTATTGGTGAACGGGTCTGCATCTGTCCTTGGCGTTCCATTGTGTTGCTCTGCATCCATTGGTGGCTAACTAAGCAGATGATAGATCTTCAGACCCTCTTCTTCCTTCCTCATACACCTTGCCACTGGCTGACACTGGTAGCACCATAATGCTTTTTGATAAAGAAATGAATGCGGGCTGCACATTGCCATTATAAGACGCTTCTTTTTAATAACTACCATTTTACAGTGCAATGTGTTTTTCTTCACTCCCATTGTGCGGAAATAGAGAGGAGATAAACTGTGCATGGCACATGCCCGTGTCCCCTGCAGAGCGGTACCGTCACCTCGAGCTCGCGGTACACCGCCTCAAGTTTGTCAGCCTGCAGCAGATCCTGCTTGAAGACTGGAGGCTCTGCCTGCAGCAGATCCTGACCGCGAGGCTCGAAGAGCTCGACATGGTGGCCCTCTGCCCCATCATCAATGCCGCACATTACGTGGTTCAAGTCCTGGCACAGTGGAGCGTCCAGCCTGTGAGTCGAGAACTCATTTTGTCGCGGGTACGCCATTCAGAACGCGTCTCCAACTGGTGTGCTTACCGCATCCTCAAGTGTGGTCCACGAAAGCTTCTGCAGCAATAATTTGAAATGCTGCGACGACAGCGACGCTGCTCTTCTTTTTCCTCGGAAATTCTACGATCAAGTCACGGTCAAGAATTGAGCCTGTTGGTGCATACTCGTAAATAGATCACCTTGACCTTTAGAACTACATTTGGACACGAAGAAAGAAGGGCCAGGTGAGCACAGACAGCCGACTACCAACAATGCTTTAGACCGACCACCAGGATTGTGATATGTGACAGTATAACTGCCGGCTCCTGCGGCGTCGTTTGTCGTCACTGGGGGATCACTTTTAACGCGTGGGCGATAGGAGACGCTAAATGCATCAGTCGAAGGTTCATTCCAGGCAGCTTAGTCGCAGGATGTGATCGTAGTGTTGGCTGGTTCCAGTGCTGTCCGTGCTGGAGCGAGCAGTGTCGGCTTCGGGACGTACACCCTGCGATGCGGTTAGCACGAACTTGTCGCCGGCTCCTTTTTACACTCTACGGAGACTATTGGTATTGACGGGGACGAAAGTTTACTGCTCTGGTTGGGGCCCCAAGTAAGCACTCTTAACCTCGAGCATTGATGGCAGCGGTTTAATTCTAGGAAACAAAATCGAGCAAAACCAGCAATTGCTTGTTTGTGCTAACAGTGTTGCATTGTGTGTGTTGAGGGCATCACCAATGATTAACTGTTCCACTTAGCAAAAGACAAAAAGTGTACTTCGAAGACATGAGGAATAAAAAAATTGATTCTGCAAAAGCTCACCTAAAATGTTTCAAGTTATCAAAATTGTGCTTTAAAAAGATTTTATGGTAATTCGGAGGTATTACTTTGCTATACCTTAAATTCTAGGAGAGACACTCAGGCTCACCAATCAGAGATACATCAAAATGTAAGATTCGAGCGAAATGCACTAGTAAACAGAATGTCTTAGGGTAACATCCATCATTCTTGCTGCTTTGGCTGGTGAAGTCTTGGCTCTAGAAAAATTGGTGGTGACACAGAACAGATACATTATGCTACAGTCTATCATGAAGTCACGCAACTTCCAAGGCTGTTGCGTGGTGTTACAAGGTGTCACAAGGCTGGCCCACTTCTGCATTGCAGTTTTTCGTCGAACTGTTGGAGGCGTGCAATGAGATGCAGGCTAAGGAGAAGCTGCGGAGGCAGGCCGCAAAGCACGTCAACGGTAAGGCCGTGCATGCACTCTGACGCACAGCTCATGGTTGTGACAGTTTTTGTGGGCAGTGCATTGGCACAGAAATACACTCCATTTGGGTTTTATTGGACCTGGCTACTAGTCTTCATATTGAACAAAATAATGCTGCAGCGATATGTATGATTACGCCGAACAAAAAGACCCCTTTTGGATCTATCGAACCTCGTGAACTGGAAGTTGGCTTTTCCTGATTACAAAACAGCCTGCTATACTCCGTGACAACTTTTCTTGGCAATGCAGTGGAAGGTACAGGCCCGCGTCCCCTCTCCCATTTTGAGTGTGCGAGGGCTCTCCTCCTCTCCCCGGAAATGGGGGAGGAGGAGAGCCTGCGTACACTCGAAATGGGAGAGGGGACGCGGGCCTGTACCTTCCACTGCATTGCCAAGAAAAGTTGTCGCGGAGTATAGTTGGATGCTGAGGGAAAGAAAATTTCCAGGACAGTTCTTGATTGTTTGGTTGGGTGAAGAAACTTTTCCTATTTATGTTAATTATGATAAAATAAAATTAAAATAAGTAAAGGTTGAAAATAAAAGGAAGTAAAGGTTGGCGATGAGAAAACACCGATGATAACCTTATGTACAAATAATAGATTTTGAGTTTGAGGCAGATAGTGGTTTTGGGTGAATATTTTTGAATCAAATATAGAATAGTTTTTCCAAGCCTTTCCCTACTCCACTATGCTTAAACGAAAGCGCGGCTGAACTCGTAAAGGTACTAGTTTCCAAGCTTCTACTTGTCCATATCTAAGCTAAATTAATTTTAATCGAGCCATATTTATGGACTGTGGCCTCAGAAAGTCCACTGCCTACATTGAAATGGCAAGTAAGCAATGCCTTTGACACGAAATTAAACCTATGGAGATGCCCAACTATACCTAATTGAGGAGATTTGAACATCTTCCTATATGAATATCCCTCCTTAAATCTTGAATTTGAGAAAACTAAAAGGGACAATCATGAATGGTGACTTCAGCTTGTCAAGACTTCTCTGCCTAACAAATGTTCTTGCATAATAGCCAGAGATTAATTTTGAAAATTTTACTGTAATGTAGATATCAACATTCACATAGTAGTTTCCATCTCTTTTTAAACATACCAAGTGTACATGTGCACCCCCCCCGCTTTTAAAGTGGGCTTTCCTCCTAAGCATTCAACTGCAATATTCGTACTTTTCGAAGTGTTGATTGCAGCGGGTTAGCCTTGTTGAGTGCACCTCTTACCGAGAAATGGTGCAGTGTGGAGAAGCAACGCCTACGGAAACGAGATCCGCGGGTGTTGCTTTTCCACAATGCACCGGTGTCTGGCAAGAAGCAGATTCAACGGGGCTACCCCACCACGGTCAACACTTCGAAAAATATGAATATCAGAGTTCACCTCGAAGCAAATATCGAATAGCGTGTTATTCAAAAATACTATTAGAAAATTCGAATATTTCCTTATCATTTGTGTTTTCGCACCGCCAGCTTTGTGCCTGTTGCAGGAGTGGTAACTCCAGCGTGCTCCCGTGCTTCTCGCATGTTTTAAGTGTTTCTAAAATTTACTAGTTCAGTGGTTTTCAATGGTGCTGAGCAAGTTTCTAATTGAAACCATACGCTTAATTTCACTAATTAAAAAAAATTACAAATTTTTGTTTATTATTCTACAGATCTTGACAATTAGCACCCTGTATCCTGTCTCCGATTGTATTATATAACTCACTCGCATAAACTGCTCTAGAGTGCCTTTCGTGGCTTTTGTTTAATAAATCTGTTCAAATTAAGATCAAACACCCGTAATATATGCTTCCCTGAACGTCTAGAAGTGCCTCGGTTTTGTTACGAGGAACGCGGTCCGACCAAGGGGTGCCCTTTGCAGACACGGTGGATCCAGAGGAGGCGCTGTTCCTGGCGGCGTCGGAGACCCCGTCGGACGACAGCTTTCCGCTGCCGGAGTACTCGACGCTGCAGGAGTCGGTGTTCGAGGAGTCGGCCCAGCTGCTGGAGAAGCTGTACACGGACACGGTGCTCGCCATCGTGGACGAGCTCGTGCTGGACTTCAAGGCCAAGAGCAAGGCCTACCGCAGGGAGAAGTGCGCCCCCTCCCCCCTCCTTTGCTTCGCATCTTGAGGAACTCCCCCCTCGAGTTTCCACGGATTTAGTTTGAGAACCCACGCCCCGTGCCAACGTCGCTCAAATTGTCTTTGTTGGGCTGTATCGTCTCTTGAAGTGAACTCTGAAATTTAGCTTTTAAGATGGGCACGTGCAGCGGAGATTTCTAAGGAAATACTCGGCGAGTTTAGACCCAGACAGATGACTCCTTGTTCTCAAAAACAATGAATTTATCTTACAGACGATGCAATGTGCATTGATCGTAAAGGACAAACACATGGTGTGTTGGTTACTCTTAGTTGTCTGCACCGAGATCAGCATATGCGGGGAAAAAATCGTCTGCTTCTCGCGCAGGAGTTGCGGTGGTGTCGGAATGATGCCGAGCTCTAATTGGCTTTGATTGAAAGTATAGTGGGTAGACCTGAATGCTAGATACCTTGGGGTCTACCCACTATTTTTTTCAATCGGCCAATAAGAGCTCAGCGTTGCGACATCGTCGCAACCCTTGTGCAAGAAGTAGACAAACTTGCGCTCCGCATATGCCACATCCTCCCCCTCTCGGATTCTTGACAGACTAGCTTTGGCAAGCTGCCTCTTGAAAGAAACATTAGCAGTTCCATGTACCAGGAGAAATAATGCAGCCGGCGGATGGCCAAGAAAGCATCTGTGTTGTGCAAGACTCGTAAAAATACTAGGAACCGGTGAAAATCATTTCACTGCGTTCAGTCCTCGTTTCAAACTATTTTTGTTCCCGTTCCGCCCATTCAAAAGCTCGGTGCAAGAGCCCAAGTATGCAGCTGATCTTGCCGTATCGCCATATCCTTCCGCACTTTGAAGTTTGTCTGCTATGGTAACCGACTGTCGATGGACGCACACTCAAATGCAGTCTCCTACCAACATTCGCTTTAGCGCACGGCATTCGGAAGATGGTGTCTGTCGTTGCTGGCTTCAGACACTGCGTCCGTCCACGAAGCCACTTCGTTGCCTTGGCAGCACCGACCATAGCAGACAGACGTTTGTCGTGCCAAAAGAGACGGTGAGATCAGGTGCAGACTTGAGGTCTTTTGCTATGCTCTTCAATCAACAGAACGTGAACAAAAAGAGTGAACTAAGGATTTGACGCAGGTGGCCGATTTTTCCGGCGCCTTATGTCTTGAAGAACCTTACACCAAAAAGTGTGTTTTTAGCTCGAAATTCGGATAGAGTCTTTTGTGCTGCAGTGAAAGGCTAAACAACCGAGGGGCCGAAAAGTTTGTATGAAATTTCCGCTGAAACAAAATAGGGCATATTGAAGAATTAAAAACAGCACGAAGGAGACGAAGGACAAGAGAAGACGTAGACAGGCAGAGCACTGACTCTCAACTGAATTTTATTGGAAAGCAACACATAAAAATCGCCGGGAATAAATAGGATGCAATTCTCATCACCCTGTCGAGCACTATGTCTATCATACACGTGCCCCCAGCAATGCCAGTTCCTTGTCAAACGGAGCGATCGGGGGGCGCACTTACATACGCGTTATTTCCACGTTGAGATATGTTGTCCGCCTCGACAGTCTCCCTCGTTTGCTGTCGAAGCGTACAACCTATCTCGATGTGGAAGTGACGCGTGTGTAAGCGCACCCTTGATTGCTCCGTTTGATGAAGAACTGGTGTTCCTGGGGGCACGTGTGTGATAGACATAGTGCATGACAAGGCGATAAGGATTGGGTCCTATTTATTCATGTAAATTTTTATGTGTTGCTTTCCAATAAAATTCAGTTGAGAATCAGCGCTCTGTCTGTCTACGTCTTCTCCTGTCCTTCGTCTTGTTTGCACTGTTTTTGATTCTTCAATATGCAAAACCGACTCACCCAAGTCTTCACCCTACTGCAAAATAAAGTAGCATATAAAGAAATTACCGAAGTGAGGGTCAATGCACTGGACGAGGGAGAACAAAAAAAGATAACTAAAAAGAGGATGTCATTAAGCTTTTCTTTTTTTTTTGTTTTCCTTTGTGTCGGCTATTTTTTCAGTATAATGGCATATTTCACTCTTTGTTAGAAGAAAAAAAAAATTTAAAAGAAGTTTTACATTTTATTAGCATTTCTTTGACACGAAAAAACGTAGCGTGCTACGAGCGCCACCCGAGTCGCCAGAGACCAACTGACCCCCGGTGACCGGCCACGTCCGACACCGCGCAGGTGGTTCTGCATGCCGGCGCTGAACGAGCGCGAGGACGCGGGCCTGACGCCCACGGCGTTTCCGATGCTGAGCCGTCTTCGCTCCAACCTGCAGCACCTGCAGGAGGCCCTTGCGGTGCCCCTCTTCAACTCCCTCTGGCAGGAGGCCGCCCGGGGGCTCAGCCTCTTCCTCTACGAGGAGGTGGGTGGGCGCGTCTCGGACGGCACGTTGCGCCGCGTTGCCTGCTTGCTGCGCGTTTGTCTCGTGCCATCAAGTTAAAGCATAAAACGCTTTACAACGAAACCCTCCAACCAAAAATGTTGTCCGTGCATTTTCCGCTAAATTTAGGGGGGGGGGGGGGGGGGGAGTCGACATCATGCGACCTGTAGTACACAGACTCGGGTTCCCTACCAAGGTTAGCGGGAAAATTGATGTCGCGTGACTCGGTGTTGTGAGGCCTACAGGCGAAATTTGTTTCTCCGTGTAATTTAGCGGAAAAACTGCACTCACGCGACCTGAACGCATTCAGTTCCCCTGCCAAATTCGGCAGGGAAATTGACATCGCGTGACCGTACGTCACAAGATCTGTACATCAAGTCGGTTTTTCTGCTAAATTTGGCGGGGAAATTGACGGGGCACGACCAGATTTCACTTGACCTATTACACCAATTGTTTCCCGCTTAATTTAGCGGGAAATTTAACGTCGCATAACATTTCTGCCATCAATTTTTCCGGTGAATTTACCGTGGAAATCGATAAAAATATGGGCTCTCTGCGCCCCGAAAGGACCGTTTAATGCCGTCTAGACAAATTTAGGCGATCGTTCCTCAAGTACCGCATTTCATGTGCTACGAGACTTTAGACATATAAAGGTCGCCGTTAATTGTTTTGGGGGCAAGTTCTGCCACAGTTGCGTAATGCTGCAAACACAGTCGCCGACGGCTGAAGGGTACATGGCATGGCTTGTTATTTTTATGCCTAGGGGTTTCTTTTTTTGGCAGTCTTCTCGGCAAATACCACAATCTCATCAACTGTAGAGCGACGTTGAGGGAGACGGTCGGAATTCACCCCGCTGCCGGAGTCTCCAGCTGCAACCCTGCTGGTAGTGCAGCACCAGTGGGGCTGGGCACAACAACTGCCTGTCCTGCGACAGCCAATCAGTTAACGGAAACTTCGGCAGCAACACTCGTTGCATTCGCCAATGCTTTGACTGCTAACCTAAATGTCTGTACAGTGCTATCCACTTACAGCGATACCACATAGATAGGGTTCCATGTTTTCGGAGTTTATTTTTCGTCAAATTCGGAGTGTGTTTTTGGGAGTTTATCTTTTGCCGATGATTCGGAGCTTATCGGTGTTTATATTTGTTTGCTTTCCAATTCTTCGAAATTCGAAGTTTAATTTTGCACTGTTTTGTATTAGAAAATGTAAACATACGGCAGAAATAAAATAAAACGCACTTGTATCATTTAAAATTTCTTCAACTGAATTTGCCATCGCCATTGGCAGTGCTAATTTGTCCCATGACAAAAGTTCCACAGAAGTGTTGCTTCGATAAAAGTCAGTACCTTAAAATCGATAAACTCCCAGAGGTAGTTGCTAGGACGCTCGTAGTCATCCCGTCCTATTCCATCCATCTAGCCCGCGGCCACGTGAGGTGGAGTGGTTAAAGGAGTTGTGCAACAATTTTAACGTTGAAAGAATTGGCATCTTTTACTTTTGACATTGTTCCTCTCGTCACAAAGGACAGAAAACACACCTCCTTCCTTTGAAATGTTGCGATTCCGCCGCGTAACCGCGAGGCAAAAATTAGAATATTCCCCGACCTGCAGCCGCGAGCGGCGGCCACGAGAGCCACGCGGCACGACGTCAATGGGGGGTCTTCTAGAAAGATAGCAAGTTGTGCGGATACCTGCTCGATAAAAGGTAACTTTTCTATAAATCTTGTCGTTCGAACATAAATATAAATGCGTCAAAAACCTGGTATCATCGACAAAACTTTTTATTATACGGAGTTTTAGTGGCGCCATCTATCCTAGGTCCACAAGACCGTCAGCTCAATCTGACCGCGAACAGCGGCCAGAAGCCGGAGGGGAAGGGGGACAGCGGCGGAGGGCGTGGCCGGACCAGGATGAGTCTTTCCTCCTTTCACCATATTGTTCGCGCTGCGCCAGCACGTGGTCACGCGGGGATGGGTTCTCGCTAGGGATGTGCGAATAGTGAATTTTCACTTCAAAGCGAATACGAAGCGAATAATTAGTTTCGAATCGAAGCGAATAATTTCAAAGCGAAGCGAATAATTTGCATTTTCTAATTTAAAAGTGAGAAAATTTACAAAATAGAACTTGAATAATTTGCACATTGATATGGCTTAGCTATCCGTGTCGTCTTCAACATGTTTTCTAGGCTACCATTTAGATTTTATTTTAGATTTATTTAGATATTTATAATTTACATCTGCCCATTTATATTTCCGGCCCTCGAGACAGCCTCCATCCGGCCCCTTAGCCAAAAAGTTTGGAGACCCCTGGCTTAGAGCATCGCGATTTCGACTTTAGAATGACATTTCAAGACCGTATCAGACTTAATTCCAAGAAAACAATTACGGTATTCGAGAGGTATCGTAACTATCAAAATGAGGATATTTTCCAAATTGGAGAAACTATCGGTATCACCATCATTATTTTCTACGCAGGGCAGCTCAGTAACGGTAGCAACGGCGTACGCGTTAGATGTGCAGCACGTGGGAAATTAGTTTAAGTGTACTCGGAGGCAAGAGGACAAAAATAAGTCAGGCTCTGGCAATCGCAGCACGTGGTCACACAGTTTCTGATGAGAATGTCATCTTTTGCGGCTCTCAAGAACACAGTTGAAGCTAAAACAAAACTAGTCCCCTCCGCCATCTTCACTCGCTTGGTGGCTCGCCGGCTAGCCGGGATTGTTTTAGCGGCAGCTCGGACGCCTAAACCTATTCCTTCCCGGAGGGTCGGCTGCCACGATTCTTTCTGGCCGCCTCCCCCTGCACTCCTAAACAGTAAGTGCCTCGCAAACGTGGTCGGCGGCAGCAGTCCCGTAAATAGGTGCCATTTTACCTCCGTTGGGGAAGTCCGTTCAGTTGAACTGAGGTTTGATTAGCGGCTCAATGAAAGTTGGAGCCGCCGTTTAACTCCGGCCGATTGCGATTGAGTCAACTATCGTTGACTCAATGGCAATTGAGAGTGCTCGTGTAACTAGGGGTAGGTTGAATAACCCTCTTTTGAATAAGGTTATGGTTTGCACCGTATTCAAACTTGGAAAATATTCGAAGTTTCCAAATAGTACTATTCGCTTCGAAGTCCGAATCGAATATGGCATTATTCGCTTCGATATTCGAAGCTTTCGAATATTCGCACAACCCTAGTTCTCGCTGCTCACTGATGGTTCTAGAAAGAGAGCTTCACCGGAACCCCGCACAAGCCCCATTGACATCACGGTGCACGTGACTCGGAAGATGGTGAAGGAGTTGAGAGGTGCCAAAAACCTCAATCTTTGTCCATTTTTAAAATAAAAACTAGGACATGCAGGCGAAAGCGTTTTTTTGGTCTTTACTTCAGAAAGGTTGAGACACCAACTCCCGATTTATTTCAGCAAAGCGCTGAAATTGTTGCACAGTTCCTTAAAGAATGTAATAGAGAGTTTAAACTGCGCCTCTTCCCTATTTTATACAATCTCTATGGTTCATAGCTTTCACTGTTATAAAAACATACCCTCTCCTTTCTCTATCTAAATCACAAATCGCATGGCCCAAACTGGAAGCCAAAAGAGTGGCTTTTGTCGTGACCCGAATGTACAATGACCTGTTGCCCTGAATCAACCTTGACGAGACATGCAGTAAGACCCCTTTTGAGAACGGTCCGAAATTGGGAAGATAATTATGGCGGCATTTTCCCAGGATCATTAACCCTGCGCTAATCAAATTGTAAAAAAAAAAAAAAATGGTGTGTGTAGGGGGGGAGGGGGCAACCCCCCCCCCCCCCCCTTCCCCCCACACACAAATTTGCAATGGCATTGGCATATAAAAATTCTGAGTTTATCAGATAAATCCGCATTGACCAAAATTTTACCGCCGGGTGTTCTTGAGAGTTTTTTGTATTTATCCGAAAACACGGAAGCCTACACATAGAGTAACCATGTACCACTTACAACAATCAGTTTCTACTCCGTACAAGACGGTAATCGGTTATAACGATTAAAATTTTGGGTTTTCTCAGTATCATTATAACTGGATTGCACTGTACCAGTATAACGAGTTCTTCAATAGATTCCCATTTTTCCTATATTAGTGTGCTATAGAGCTTCTGCTGTAAACGACTAAAGGTACAATTCTGAGAGGGGACGGCTGATAATGAAACAATATTTGTCGAATTCTAAGCCCAACTTATGATGTACGTTTTTTCTTTGCTCCCGGGTACTGTTTTTTTGTTTTGTATGTTTCATTCGTCTGCTCATTTCGGCACTGCAGCGTGGCTTGGACGTCAATCCGAAACGCGTAGTCATTGTTATGACCATCACTGCATACCATAGAGTACCAATGATTTCTGCACTTGCTATTTCAGCTGATCCTGGAGAACTTCTTCAGCGAAGGGGGTGCTCTTCAACTCAGCTTTGACATGAACCGCAACCTCTTTTCTCTGTTCTCCACCTACACCCAGAAGCCGGAGAATCACTTCAAGGAGTGAGTCCTCGTACCTTCGTGCCTTACACTACCTAGGGTTTCGCGTTTTCGATTGAAACCGATAAATGTATGCCGAATTAATGTATCAGAATCGGATTTTAATGCCATTAGCATTGCATTCTAGGTTCCCAACTCTCTGAAATTCAAAGTTTAAATTCGTTGTGTTCCCAATATCCAAACGTTGAACTTTTTGAAATTTGGAGTTACTCGGATAATTCCGAATGGACATTAGTGTTACCGGCGAGTGTTTTTCGCATTCTATTGGATTTATCAGGAAACGCGAAACCCTAAAAATAGCTGATGGACTTTTTTTTCTTTTTTTTTTTGGAGGGGGGATGGTCATTTGTTATTGTGCGAGACTTTATGACACACTTTCTTAGAGTTGTAAGCTACTTTTGGGATCGTCCTACCTTACGCTGGGGAGTGTTGAACAATAAGCAATCTCTTGAGGGCTAAAATTTTTCTGTTTTGTGTGCCAAGTTCAGGGTCCTTTGGTGATAGGGTGTGCTTATTGTCCAGCCCTGCTAAATTCAAATGCTAAGCAAAGGACAATGCAGAGTTTCTGTTGAACTCCGTCAAACCGTCGTCTCGTTCCAACGAGCCTTTCCCAAAGTCACACGTGTGTGTGCACAGCGGTTGCAGACGGTTGTTTGCCACTTCCGGTACGGTGAGACTGGTGTGTTTGGTGTCCCATCCCACCCGTACATCAAAAGCGGTCCTGAAGTAGCAACGAATTACGTCACAGGAGCCCGAGCACCATGCTGTCGGATGTCGTGATCCTGGCGGTCGGTGTTAGAATTCCCAATAAAAAGTATGAGCAAATGCAAGCTGAAGAGCGCCTCGCAGCAGAACAAGTGTCTGCCACACCCACCACCATCACCAGGATCGCAGCCGGCGACAATGCGACACTTATGAAGTCGTTGGGCGGAAATTAAGGGAACACTTTCTTGGAGCGGCAAACGTGCCATACTTCTGGTAGCGTACTCGTGCGACAGTACGATGACGGCGGGGCGTTTTTCTGACGACTGGCCTCCAGCACACACTTGCTGCATGCTGGAAGCATTATCAAAGGTAGGGGTCGCACGCTGGAGGCAGGACAACTGAAGGACGCCCCTGCTGATCTCGTCCTGTCAGCAACTAAAGTAATGGTGTGGAGCTACCAATGGGGCCCGACGACAGATGGCACCGAACATTTGCCGAAAGCGTCCGTTAGGAGTTGAGGAGGCTGGATCTAGGGTTTGGAGTGACCCAGTCACCTACCACTGTTGCACGACAGTCTGCGGCGCTTTTAACGAGGGCGGTGACTCGTCGCGTTGTCGCAGGGTGAAGGAGGCATGCATTCTGCTGACCATGCCGCACCCCGTTGCGTGGATCCTCCAAGAGACGCTCCGGGCAGCTCGGCAGACGGACGTGGTTACGGGGGGCACGGCGCTCGAGGAGCAGGGCGTCTCGTTCCTCACCCCGTCCCAGGCTATGCACGTGCTCTCCAAGAGGAACGACCTCGTTCACACCTGAAGCCCTCGCTACCTTCGGTGCCGTCCAGGTCAAAGCAGTCAGACCTTTGTGCAGCACCGAGGTCAAACTTGGGGCCGAGACATGGACAGGGGGACAAACATTGAGCACAGTTGATAGTCAAACTTTCGCATGACCCTTCACGCACCTCTCAGATCGGCATAGGATGCCACGACCTTGAGCGCTTTCAAGGTCATGGGTGTAAACCAGACAAAGTCGAAATTTGGGGCTGGACGTTAACAGGAAAACGACCTTCAGCACAGTTGAAGGTCAAACTGCCGCTCGATTTTACAAGCGTCGGTCAATCGGCTACGATGCCACGACCTTAAACACTTTCAAGGTCGTACTTCGAGGTAAGGCACCACAAAAAGGAATCGCCGTAGCCTTTGTGTAGTGTCAAAGTCAAACCTGGGAGTGACATGTGGATAGAAGGAACGAGCTTGCATACACCCAAGGGTCAACTTGGCTGCTGATCACCCACATGAAAACAAATGGCAGTCTTTGCCCAAGATGCCCGCTTCTAAGTCAAAGCCTTCAGAGGTGCATACCTAAATTGATGCGACCGTCGTCATCGCATCGTAGTAACTCCACGGCAAGACTCAATCGGCGTGGCAAGGCGAGGCCGAACGGAGCGTGGAGATTAAATCCGAGCTTATGTAGCCTTCAGTGCGGCACCACGGCGAAATAAGTGTGGGCTGGTGTCGTGGCTGTACCCCACAGTGAAAGACCACACCCGAGTGCTTCGTGTACCACACCGATCTTGCCTACAGGCAGCTAATCTCTTCTGCCCTTCCCCTACTGTGTTACAAACTCCGGGTTGTTATCGCGCCAATATTCTAATCGTCATATCGGGAAGCTGAGCAGCATTCTTACCTCCAGCCAGCCTAGAGCAACCTCTCCCAGAAAGCATGAGTCAGAGACGATTACAGAGCAGCTCGGCAGAGCATATCAGCCAGTTGCCTAGGCTCTTTTCGCTGACCCACTCTTTGGATTCACGGCAATCCTGGGAACGTCCGTTGGAAGTCTGCAACCTCTTTTCTCGAGGTAGGACAGTCATCTAGTCAAGACGTCGAGTCATTGTTGATACTCTCGAGTTTATGGCTAGTGGATCGGACAGCTCTTTTCCCTTTGAAACGCAAGTAGTACTAGTTGAGAAATGAATGATGTTGGACTTATGTTGATTTGTATGTTGGGTGCATCACCGCAAAGCTTGCGGGGGACTCTGTAGGCATTTTCCTTGCCACCAAAGCTGCTGTTGCCCTAAGAGCTCCATCACTCGGCACCGAAGATTGTTCAAATTAATGCTCGGCTTGCGCTTCAAACTTGGAGCATTCCTGGCCTCAAACCTTGGGAACTATGCTCCGAGAAACCTAAACGAATAATGATTGGTGTGGCGAAACCTTCCGACGATAATATACTGTGAAGTAATCCGAAAGGTCCCAGACACTGGCAGCTTGGCAGTGATGCACACAATCCACAAAATGGTTCACAGTTTACATGCCGCCCCGCCCCCCCCCCCCCCCCCCCCCAGCAAATAGGAGTGTTACCATATCATCTCGGTTGCGGAACTGTCTGTAGACACTGCTCCGATTCACAATTCCCCTTCTCCACGGAAGTTCCACAACCGAGTCGATCTAGCATTGTTGGCAAATAGTTTCCGAACACAAGGTGTGCGATCGTTCGAGCCTGTAGAGTTTAGTTTGAAGCATTAGGTTGTACACATATCAGACGAAGATCCTCGACTCCCTTCATCCTAGTTTTTCAAACTTGCATTTAAAAGAAGGGAGGACACAGTGTATTTTTGTTGTCTTTATTTTTCTTGCCCTCGTCCATTGGGGGCACAAGCGCATTCCGAGATATAGAGTAGTTTCGAAGAGGTTTGTTTTAGAGCGTTCTTCAGCCCTGTTGTACAATAGTGACGAATCTCGATGCCGGCACACCACGCGCAGACTCAAGACGGCGTTGTTGATCATGTTGCACAGCTATAAATATTACTCGTCTGTTGATGCTCTTGTTCAGAACATTTACGTCACCGCGGCTTTGGAAGGAAAGCTTAAATAAACTGCCACGCAAAGTCCTCGAGACTGCGACGCAACACCCCCTGCCCGAGCCGTTCCCCGACATGACAATAATCGCATCTTTGATCGGCCCTTCGTCCTCGACAAAACCCGTCGCAACTGTGCAGGTGTCAAAGCTTGAGCACTACCAACCGTGTCGACTTTCGGCAAATATGAAAATTGTTTCGAAGGGTCAAAACTTTCCCAGATGCAAGAATGCAACGGGCCTCCCAAAAGGGCACTAAAGTGAATTTTGATATTGCGTTTTTATAGCACAAACTCAGTCTATGCAGCCTAAGCATCCCAGAAGACTCAGATTTATGATGCAACCCCCCCCTTCCCTTTCCCTCCCTTAAATAAAAAAATTGTTGCCATAATCTCTGCGGAGATTGTTGTTGAAATGCGACAGCATTACTACTTAGGACGTGCTGTGAAAATTCTAGGAATAGTTTTTGCTGACATCCATGAAGTCTTCTAACACATTTCTACGATCAAATGACGAGTTTTCTTGGAGCATTACTGCAATCCAAATGTTCCTCTTACTATAGAGAAGTATACACAAGATACATACATTAACATAAGACCCTTGGTTAGTGTATTCACTGTTCAGAAGATATCCTATCATATTGGATTGGCACATTGGCCCCTGTATGCCTGATTAATAGGTGCATGCCGCCTGCTTTGTTAGAAATTAAAGGACGGACACGGAAGTGTGTAGAATTTGCTCATAAATGCAGTCGCATTTATAAAGGCGCGGCGTACGCCACGTCCTAACTTCAACATAGTTTGTTGCATGTTGCACAATGACAATGTCGCAACACCACGCTTGATCGCATTTTTATTAGAATGAAGGCCACACGACCATAATTTTGTGTTGTCTAGGCTGCTTGGGACGCAGAGATAAAGTCTGTGCCGTAAAAATACGACATCAAAATCCACTCTAGCACGCTTGAAGTAGAATGGCACCTTTCTTCTTTCTCCCTTCCCTGGTGCTACCAGCATTCAATGTGATACCCTCACCAAGCGTCCATAACATCCATCATCCCTCGTCATATCGGGGAAAAAAAAAGAAAAAAAGAGTGAATTGAAGCTCCCGCAGCCAACGCGTTCGTCGACCACGACGAAACCCGCGCTCGGCGGCCAAACCGCATCCGGAGCGTTCCGCACAGACCATCCGCTGTTTGTGTACATATGTGCAAATAAAAATGTTGATGCATGATCCAAGTTGGCTTGTTTCAAAATGCCGATGGAATGCGTCTATGACCGGTGTGTTTAGCCTGCTATTCCGCCCGTACGTCGAAAGTGTACCCGATATGGCAACCAATTGCAGAGCAAAAGCCAGAGTGTCGTGCTGTTGGAAGTTGCGACCCTGGTGGTTTGGTCGTAGGAATGCTGGTGAAAGGCACGACACTCCCACGTCGTCGTCGGGAGACCACATTTTTTGGACGCGGTAATCGCGCCCGTCATAGACACGTTCCAGACACCGCAATTCTGACCCAGAATTCAGCAACTGGGCAATCATTTCGTTGCAACATATAGGCATTGTTACGAACCATGTTGGAACCGATATGATGCCGAGCAGCAAAGGGTACCAATATTTGGACTTTTTTTTCCCCCTCGCATAATAAACACACTTCCAATTTTTGGCTCTGCAAGTCTCGAATTGCATCCAATTTAGCTAACCACCAAGTCATTTTTGTTGTGCCGCCAAGTAGTCAGGCCAAGCCAAGTCAAGCCGCTCTCGTAATGGCTGCAAGTGCGTAGTTGCGGAAATGATCAACCGTGAAACCGAGCGGCGCACACACTTGACGAAGCTTGGGTCGAGGAATTGCCGAGTCCCGGACATTCTTCGCCTATCGGATGCATTGATGTCAACAAAAACGCCGTCTTCTTTGGCCCGCTTTTGGACAGTGAATGAAGGTGAATGAAAACTCCCGAGAGATAAGCAGAGTCAACGCCATTCAAAAGAGTGGGTTTCTGTACCAGCAGTACACAGTTTATTTCGAGTTATATTCTTTATACAGCATAACCAGCGTAACATTGCTTTTGTTGCATTTTTTATACACAGCTTTGTTCAGATATACATTTTCCAAGCCTTGTTGTTTCTCACAGTGCTTACAGGTGTTTAAAAAGAAACACGAAAAACGGCGTGTAGAGTTGTGCTCCCATTTACACGTTCTCCTATTGTATATATACAGTGTCGCGAAGTCTGAAACCCACGTGCACGAGACGCCAATACACACGACGACGCCGGAGATAGTACAAGCTTGTCCCGCGCGTGGTCGCGGAAGCAACAACTGGCGGCACGGCGCCGGGATTGCACGGCCGTTGCCCTTTGAGCGCGCTACGCCAAAAGCAACGATAAAGAAAAAGGTCTCAAAACTAAGTAGAATGCGTCGAGAAATTGGACGACTTTTCCCACAAATTTCCCGCTCAACAACCAGCACACGTCTTATGCCTGCGAACACCAACACGTGCCGCTGCGGGCCACCCGGGTGGGCTTCTAAGCAATTCTACGTTTTCGTGTGGATTCTGTGTTAACCTTTACACATGGTGCTATGCATCCTCAGATCCCTTTACCTGTTACCAATCGCCGATCCTATGTACACCGCGCTGAAATTACGACTAAGACGACCGTTGCAACGTTTCGAAACGTTCAAACGTCAACATTCAAAACAAGGTTGCTGTTGCCACCTGGCAGCCCATAGTCTGCCGTGACGATGCAGGCCTCGCACAGTGTGGAACGCATATCCGCGATACACTTTTCAGTGTGGCACGTGCCACGTGTTACACGAGCTGGTGAGACGGCGGTCTCCGACAGGCAACACCGAGACATTTCTGTACAGAGGAAAACGAGGGGAGACACCTAAGCTGACGGGATCCAGCTGCCATTGCTTGCGGCCTGTCGGCTCGAAACTACACTTGCGCGGGAGTATCGCGACACTGCGGACAAATGTGAGCGTTGTTCCCTTTTTCTGTTGTGACCGGCGTCGACTAGCAAAGGTTCGGGAGGAGACTGCCTTCGCCCGACAGCGCTAGAACCTACGGGTCGGTTTCTGCCATTGCCGCAGCTCGAACGTGAAAGCTAAAACTGAAAATCTCACTGCCCGACCGAAAATGTAAACGGCGTGCTCGCTGCACGTCTGCTAAGCGGGCACGTTTGCAGGCCTAGAGGGAATGGAAAACACCCATCCACGTGCGCTGTTCGAAAACCAGAAGCTCGACAGACACAGCCAAATGTTTGTTTAGATAGCACACTTTTAGTCTGCTGTACGGATGTAGCGAAACTCCATTGTTCAGAACTAAACCACATCCACCAAGAGACCAGGCACCATCTTTCCCCATGCACACGACACCGATGCAACATGCTCAAAAACAAAAACGTAAAAGAAATTCAAAAGCAGCAGACGTGTCAGTATGGGCAGACGGTTAACCAAAGGGAGTCTACAAAAGTGCTTCTATTAGGAGCAAGCAGCTACTTCAAATTTTCCGCATTTTCTCGGCATTCAACTCCCAGAGTAGGTTTTCGGGTACGAGTCTGGAGACGAGGAGGTCGGCATGCATGTGCGACGACGGCGGGCGACATGCGGTGGTCCCGACTTTGGTTAGAAGCGGCAAGCGTCGTTCCCGCGCTGCATCATTCTGCAAATGGGACGCCTCGGGTTGCAGATGAGTCGGGCAAGCTCAAGCTCATTTTTCACGAAACACTGTCACTAAAAGCCTGTCAGGAAGCCATTCAATATTTCGTTAGAGAAAGTAGGCAGTTCCATGCAAACTTCTGGCAGGTACGACACTGTACTCGACTCCCCGAAAATCTTTGAAAACGCAAAAAAAAAATTGTTTTAGATATTTGCATGGGATATAAATGAATCAAAATAAAAAATCTTTCCGGAAGAAAAAAACAACAACACCTGAACATTCCTTTTAGTGCATTGTTAATGCCATGAGACAGATTAAGAGTTGGGATCGATTTGAAAACAAATTTAAAGGGAGTGAGTCTAAAACTAACTTGGAGTCGACATCTCAAAACTGAAGTTTCGCAATCGTTTCCAACTCAAAATCTGTCTCGTGACGTAAATATTGTGCTAAAAATCTACTTTTCTAGAGGAGGGGAGAAATTTTGTATTGTCACATATCCAGAAAAAAAAAAAATTGTTTTTATGGGAGTAGTGTTTCTTTTGAGCCCCAAACAAATGGTGAAAACGAAAGCGTGTTGGTAGCTTATTACACTTCTAGTAATGTTGACAAAATGTTGGCCTGCAAACTTTATTCAGCTTCACTCTCTTCCTCAAGCCACCAATATACTGCCACGATTGGAAACTACAGCCTGATGGTTCTAAGGAAGCATTTAAACTGAAGGCAGAATTACAACCGCAGCAAACCCGCCTCTTTTTTGTTAAAACACCCGAGATGGGGAGTGAAAAAAAACTGGAAGCAACCAAAAGTAGAAGAGACGGGGAAAGAAGTCAGTCAGATGACGTTCGCTTGCGTCCTGTGTCTTTTCTTAAACCCGCCTCGTCATTTAAAGCGCATGTGTGTTTAAGTGGAGCCTTGTATTAGCTGCCACCACCTCACCAAAACGGTGCAATTGGCAGCGAGAATGCAACCTAAAGGTTTTAAAGAAGGTACCGAAAATTAATAGCAATAACTCCAGGGGTACCGACCACCCGTCCCCACTAAATTCGCAACATAGGAAAGAGCTGGACTATTCCAGTCATTAAAACTGAAAGTGAAAAGTTTTAGGTCGCCTACCCACTAGGTGTAGCAACCTACCAACTCGCTTGTTAGCAAAAGGGGACACAAAAAGATGGCTGGTCTCCACACAGCGTGAATTGATAACCTCGTTTGTCAATGTACTGAATGACTAACATTTTGAGTCTGAAAAATTGTGATGTAAAAAATCCTAAGTAGACGTTAGATGGCAAGGGAGATTTTGAGGTCCGCAAGCAAAGCAGATGGCAGTGGTGGGCGGAAGAAGCAGACAACACTCTCACAAAGTAGACGACACTCTCACAAAGCAGACAACATTCTCACAAGGCAGGCGACATTCGTTGGTACCTCAAAGTTTTGAAAGTAGGTCCCTAATTATGGCACACGGACAAAACATAATAAATAAGAAAGATGCAAGAGCCGATGCTTGTAAACGGTGCATGTAAAATAAGAGAGCAAAATACCTTGATATGCACCACTTCTAATGTCATTTCCCAATTTACTAGCTTATAAAGCTTTAGAGTTAGTGCGTCACCATTTGCCAAATGCTATCCGTACATATCGGCTAAACGATTCGTAAGAAAGTTGTTCCTGTAGCGCATTAGTGCTCATTATTATAGCAAAAATTTGTTACAAAAAAGTTGGGGTCCGAAACAATTTTTTAGATTCCCTTTCTTGTTGCCCAACAAACGGGTCTAGAAAAAAAAAAGGACAAACAAAATGGCAGTAGCTTGAAGATACAACAGCAAAAGCAGAAGGGACAGACAAACAGACTAGGGAAAAGCAGATGACATAACCCTCGGAACGCAGACGACAATCTCCGTGTAACAGGCGAGCAGTCGCCAAAAAAAGAAAGATGTGGTTTGCACTGCTACTTTGAACCACGGTTCAAGAGGGGCTCAAAGGCAGCAATTTGTCAATGCTCTCGAAACCTAGTAGAGTTTAAATGTACACACAAAGAAAGAAATCAATGCTTCGTGCACCCAGATTCTCTCCATCCTTGGGGAAAAAGACATATAAAAAAAAAAAAAAAAAAAACAAGCGACAAAGGTGACATGAAAATGAGATATTGTCTTTAACGTCAAAAAGGACTAGACGTCGTGTTGCGGGAAACTCCCCGTGTCCCCAGAGAAAACTCCGCGCACGGACGCGCAGGAAACAACGAGACCGACGCACCCAGAAACGAAGCCGTCCTTAGCGTCTCGGAGCAGACGACGACGGCTCCCCGTGCCACGCCCACCCTGCTGCGCGCCCTCCCCAACCCAGAACGGAGAAAGGGCTACTGCGTCCAACCGCGTTTGTGCACGCCGAGAAAGAGGTGCAAAGCACACGTGCATCGCGAACCCGAATCGACTCCCTCAAAGGCTCCCACCAGGAGCGAAGCCAGGAGCGAGTCGCCCACATATCTAAACAACCTCCCAGGGTTACGAAACGAAAACGAAATAGGAGTTGGACGGCGAAATCTACTTCAGGGGCCTTCACTCGGACTACACGCTGCCCTTGTGACACAAATTCGAGTTAAGTAAAGGCCTACATTGTTTGTCGCACTCCGACGTAGCAATAGTTTGTTCGTGGAAAGAAAATGAAAAAAAGATCCCTGCTAACTCGACCCCTGCTAAAAAATTAAAGCTACCGTGAAATACCAAGCGTATGTCCGAGTTTGTGCCACCTATTTTGAAGCTAACTGAGCTTCAAGACGAACTATAGTTGCAGACGGCTAAAAGAAACTTGGGACGTGGCGATTCCCGAGCATCTTATGTGAGATTGGAGCGTTAGCCGATGAGACTGGCGAAAGAGTGAACATAATAGACGTGCCCTACCCTTCTTTAGCTGTCAGTATGCGTAGCTTATACAAAGTATTTATGCATAAATTCTCCTTCAAATTCTCCCGTCATTTTCTCGCCAGTGTCGGTGGCAGCTTGCTCAGTGTTTTGCGGTAACCTCGAAGTGACGCTCCCCGGAAGGACACTCCTGGTGCTGTTGATACAAAGGTCGACAATGCAAAACCGAATGGTGACACTTCAAGGACTTTGAAATTACAAAAGAAACAAGACAAATCTTGGAAGAGTGCGCATACGTGGCAATGATTGTCACCAGACGGACTGTCAATGACGGCTGAAAATAACCGTTGCAAAAGGGCAACTATACTTAACAAAAAAATATTGACGGCAGCTAAAATTTACGATGTGGATAAATCCAACGGTTTTGCATTGTTCAGAATCGAGTGCAACTCGAAAACTAAAGAAAAGGAGGAGGTGGGACGTGGGCACGAGCCTGCCACGAAAGGTGAAGTTGGCGCAACACCCTAAAGGTGAACAGTACTCCTGCCTAAGAATCCAACTGGAGGCACTACCCCAAAGTGCAAAAGCAAACAAGAGGGGGCGGGAAAGGGACAGTGACAAGCTTCTCCTACTGCTAACAACATGAGAAGCATCTTCCAATCAGAGAAGAGTACACATGGGAGGGTTGGAGTCGCTTGCAACACCACCGACGGGAGGGGGAGCAGGGTTGCGAGTATTAAAGAATAGCACTCCCATCCAAAAAGGTGGAAAAAAAAAAAAGATTTCCAGAGTAGCGGAGGTACCAATTAGCATAAACAGAGGTGGAGCCTTGTAGCAGGGACTGATGAGGCTCCGCCCCAAAAGAAAGAAGGATGGGGCAAAGTGACAGACTGGGCAAAGCCATCATGATGACACCCCCCCTGCCTTCTAGAAAGGTGCAACGAATAAATATTAAGGCACCACATCTAGAAGGGAGAGAGGGTGAAGGGGCACAGACAATGGTGGGCAGAGCGTAATGGCGGGTGCTGACAAGTTCTCCCACCCCCAATAAACCAAGAAATGGAGTAGGTGGACAGCTGAGGGTCACCTCCCCCAAAATGGGCAGGGCATCGCAGCAGGAATTGACAGACACTTTGCCAAAGGAGCAAAGGGGGTGGAGCCTCACAGTGGACACCAACAAGCTAACACCAAAGGGGTCGAGAAAACGAGAGGGAGCGGGGCTTCGCAGTGGGTGTCCATGAGGCCCCTCGTCCAAAATGGGGGAGAAGTAAAGCAAAGGGGGCAGAGCCTCACAATGGGCACCAAAGTAGGATTCAAGAAAACACAAAAGGGGCGTGGCCTCGCAGTGGGCATTGAGGAGGCCCCTCCCCCTTAGAAAGAAGGGGGACCAGAGGCGGAGCCAAGGGGAGCGGGCCGACGGGCGGGGCCTGGGCGGGCGTCGCAGCAGACTTACTGGAACTCGTCGTCGGAGCTAAGGAGAGTGGTCTTCTCGTTGTAGGCGGGGTTTCGGCGGCCCCTCCCGTTGGGGGCCCCGGGGGCCGCAGCCGAGGCGCCGTTGCCGTGCCCGGCCCTCGAGCCGACCCCTCCCCCTCCCTCCCCCCGGGGGGCGTCCTCCTGCAAGGACGGCTGGTGCGGGTGGTGGGGGTGGCGGGCCGTCGGGGCCGCGTACTGCGTGTACTGCTGGTACTGCGGGTGGAAGTTGTGGATGGCGTCGTTCATTATGTCCTTGGGGTTCATCGTCTCCTGCAGAGAGAAGAGGCCCCGGACGGGTCACGCACCCACTCGTGGTGGAAAGATGGGGGCGACGAGGAACCCAATTCGCCCCTCTTCCACGCCATCCCGACGAGGCCAGTGGTACCGCAAAATGTATCGCGCGTTGCTTCGGGGTGATGTTGGTAGGCATTATGTGGTTCAACAGCACCAACATCATTGTGCGGTAGCGTAGCATCTCTGAAAGAATGTCCTGCTAAAGCAAAGGGTTTAACAGGGCTTTCTCTTTTGCCTTCTTGCAAGATGCAAAGTTTGCGTCTCGTGTCTCCCTGTTCCCTCCAAAGCATGCGCTTGTTTAGCATTAAAACTTGGACTCAATCAGCGAGGGCACAAGTTCCAGCCCAACGCCGACGCAGCGCTTGTGCGACGCTCTTCTGTTACGACAGTGTGTTACAAAAAGTAGCTAGGAGCCAGCCCTAACAAGCATTTGGCTTTAAAGGAGAGAGGAGCCCCCACCTTGAGACTGGAGGAGATGCTCTGCATGGTGACTGAACGTCCTTGGGCGTCCGCCCTGCAGCCCTGCACGTAGACCCGGTAAGGGAAGGCGTACTTGAGGGCCAGCGAGGCAAAGAACATCTCCACGCAGATGAGGAAGTTCTGGTAGGCCGCCGACACCGTGCCCGCGCTCGCCACCGCGGGGTCGGCGGGGGCCCCGCTGGCCGCATAGATGGCCGAGATGAGGCCCGCCTTCTCCAGCACCGCCAGCAGCACTCCTGCGCGGAGGGCAGGGTCGTACTACGCTGTCCTTGGTTGGCGATGTCAGGGTTCTTGTTACCCCCCAGATGGAGATGAGAGGGTCCCCATTCTCTCTAGATAGGAACCATAGGCCTCTATTGTCCCAAGAGAGAGACCATGGGTCCCTATCGGTGCGAGACACAGACGAAGGGTCTGGCGTATGGCATTCAAATCCATTCGGCGCTCAAAATGCCAGAGACTGCACGAGGAGCAGAAGATGCTCTTGTTTGCTCCGATTGGAGAAAGAAAGCGGATGGAGACAAAGGTGGCCAGTCTTTGCATCTACACACCAATCGAACCGATCAGAGCTCAGCACTCTGACCTCACCGCAAGCTCTCGTCTCCTCCTTTACCACAGTACAGAATGCCCCCGGCGACAAGCACTAGACTTGGGTGACAAAGAAAGGGACGGGTAGCCAGCTCACCTTGCCAGAAGGAGAGGAAGATGACAGACTTGACGGTGCAAAACTTCCAGACGGGGTCGAAGGGTGCCAGCAAGTCTTTGGTGGCAAAGTAGAAGAGCACCAGTCCGTAGAGGGCCAGCGACACGCTGATGTTGTAGATGATGGTGATGTACAGGTAACCACTGTCTGGTCTGCATCGTCGAATACGCACAACCACTAATCAGTCGCGGGCGAAACTCACGGCGATGACTACAAAATCTGAGAACAGGCAACAGGGAGTTTCAGTAGATTGTTCCCACTAAAGAGCGGATCACACATTCATTGCAGCGCCGAGATAACGCAGTCAGCACTGTCAGCGCTGACTCGGTGTTGAGTTGTAGACAAAAAAAAGGTGGGGTCACAGATATCAAAGTGCTGATACAGCTCTGATATAGCGCAATGTCAGCGCTTTGCCTATAGTTGTGAGTTAACTTTGCAGTGTGTGTGAACAGGCCTTATCTATCGTTATCGTATATAGTTATTAGAGTTAGCGAGGTGAGCTACTAAAATACTCCAATATCATATGCCTGATACAGTCACAAGTTAGAGGGTGTCCTGAGGGTAAATTTAATGAAAGCAGTACAACCAAATTAAAACGGCAACTGAGGTTTTTGCGGATCCCGGGAAGTCATGCAGCCGGCCATAGGTACGTAGGCAAAGAGATGACGACGTAAACGGCGGCTAACGCACACTGGGTTCGCTCCTTTGGCACCTTTTTTCCCCAACGTCTAACACTGTCGTAGGTCTGTTCGCCTCACAACAATTGTTAGCATGCATGCAGCTCATAAATGCCGCCATTTCTCTTGCAAAAATTACTTTGTGCGCAATGTTAGCAATCCTCTAAATGCTCCTCTTTGTGATTTTGCTTTAGCAACAATGGACCCTCTCAGTGCCATTCTGCTGCATCAAAGACCACTTTAAAGGGATTGTCCGGTCAAACTTTCTGTACGAGAAAACAACTGAATATCATTGTTATTGCCTCGAAACGCATTGTCCGTGCAATATCTAAATTTTGTATGCCCTTCTGCATGAGTAATAGAATTTTAAACTGCTCCAATCGCATCCTAGCGTAGGCGGTGCTTTCGTTGGGCAACATTAAAGCTCCAACGTCACATAATGCGAAGCGAGCATTTCAGTCTCATCATTTGCCCGCAAGTGAATGCTGCATTGTGCTTCATTCTTGTGGTGTTTGACTTGTTTCATGGATGGGTCAGATTTTTGTTGCGCGGTTGAATGCCACAACCACCGGGCAGCACCTGCAATCCGCATGACGTGCAGCGACGAGCAAAATGGATCGTCGCCATGCGTAAAGAGCAGTGGGTTTTCGTCAAGATCAAGTTCCCACTTATGCCGCAATCATCTTACAGAGGAGAGCTACGAGCTGATCTCTAAGCGGACAGACGACTCGTAAGCTGAGGTGCGATGCTGTGCCAACGATATTCAACTATGTCCACCCACTCCTCGCCCAAATTGGTTCAGTCGGTTTGATTATGCAGCGAAACCGAAACCAACAGCTGGGCCATCTTGAAACAATGTCAAAAATTATTTTTTGACATCGTTTCTTTTTGAACATTGTTTGACATAATTTTTTTACATTTTTTGACGAGCGACGGACAGCCGCGAGACCTCTTTCCACGTAGAAAGGAGGGAGGGGGAGAGGCTCACCTCCAGTCACCGTCCGAGTACTTGCCGAAGGGCTGCAAGATCAGGGTGATGACCGACATGAGCGGTTTTACAGCGCAGAACTGCAGCGTCGCCTGCTTGCAGAAGCGGAGGAAGCCAATCGTGTACGTCTTGCCCGTCAGGCAACACGTCCCATACCAGAAGCTCTGCCTGTTGACAGACGCGCACATACGCAAGTAAGAGCTGTGGTCTAGATTCACCAAAAAGAAAGCCAATGACCACACACTGTTGCAGGTTAAAAAAAGCAGGATAGGCTTCTCCCACAGAGCCATCCCACTGGAGGTATGGACTCGCCTCCTCTCAAAGTTCGCTCTGCTAAGGTGCAAAGAGCAAAGAGCAAAGGGCTTTGTGGGAAAGGCTTGTCCTGCTTCCCTTAACCTGCAACGGAGTATAACAAAATCACACCTAATGAAAGCACAGGTCTGACAGTGGGTTTTGCTGTGTGAAGTGTCAGCCGACAGGCATTGTGGGGGCAGTGTGGTACATGGCCGCATATGCTGCGCGAGTTTGTCGGTCCTTTGAAGAAGCCGATAGTCTAGCAGCCACGACTGGTGTCTGGCAACAGGAAAGTTGTATGTTCACTTTGCCATCTTGTTGTAGACTCATAACAAACCACGGCTGTCTCCCACAAGTGCCGCATTGTGTTATTGCAAAGTCGGCTTGTCCTAATGGGCTGCAAGCTCCGCCCACCGGCCAAACTCTCTCGGTATACGGTGCATTCCACTTATAAAAATAACGAGAAAACCCGAAACTTTGATCGTTGTAACCGATTATCGTTGTATCTAGACAAAAACTGATCATTTCCAGTCTAGAAACTGATCGTTATATGCGGTATTGTTGGAAGTGGGTTGCACTGTAGCAGGCTCTAACATGGTCATTTCCGAGCTTTTGTACCACACCCAATAACATGTCACAAGGACATTAACCTGTTTCTTTACAGCGATGGTTGTTATCGGCTCTTCTTCCCCCCCCCCCCCCCCCCCCCACTCAAAATGATGTTGATGTAGGGCAGGAGTTCTCAAACTCCTTTTCACGAGAAGCGCATATTGTTCTTCATCGATAGCCACCCCTCCCAATCTTGGCATTGATGCAGTAAAGCAGTGCACAAGCCTACAGACCTTGTAAACGATAATGCACACACTAGCTAGTGCCTGCCAGTTACGCAACAATGGATGGTTCGGATCTTCTAACATTTTGCCATAGCCTTTCAACATGATTGTGGTAACAAAACTCTTCTGTAAAGCCATAGAACAGCTTAGTACACAAGCACGTTGGGCGCTAGCATCGACGAGGGGGCTAGGAGCCGCCAATCCAGCCAGCACTGCAGGGAGTCTGGCAACCAGAGTAGTATTGGAATTTCAAGCCCACTCTGAACGAGCCACCAATCGATTGTGGTGACGAGTCGTTGCACCGACAGCGTTTCTCGCTAATGTGAGCGTCTTCAGCTTGGTACACTCGGTCAACTGATCAAACTTCCTTTTCTGCAACATTCTTCAAAATAATATCATTCTTCATTCGTCTTCTTGCCTCAAAATGAATTCTCAATACCGTTACAGCCATGAAACTTCAGCGCCGCGAGTAGCGCCATCGAGTAGAGGCACTGCGAACCAGTACGCTCAATTTCCTGGCTCTTCCTTCGCTTGCAAAAACCACCGTTTTGTCTGAAAACAAAAACAAAAACTCATTTCTCAGTTCTCTTAGTAGAGATCGGTAAAGAATGACCGGCGCTCGCATACAGTGGCCAATTACAGGCGTAAATGTCGGTGGCGCTCCTGGTGGCAGCTTTATGCCCTGTACCAAACTTTGGACAAAGTTTCGAGACCAGAAGCACACTAAAGGACTCCGACAGTGCTTAAAGGGGATGTGGGGCTTCAGAGTAATTTTCTTATTTATGAAACAGTACTCATCATATTTTACACTGATGTAACACATTTCACACCTATTCCATTATGCAATCAGATATTGAATATCTTTACCAAGACCAGAGTTATGAAAGATCGGCCTAATTTGATTAGGTCATTCGTTACGCGTCGTTGAAGAAAAATTATTCATAAATTATCAAAATATTTAATGCAACGGCATTCACAAAGGTGTAATTTGTAAGGTGATGCTATTTTAGATCTCACCTGAGTGGGTTGTTACTAAAAAATGATTGTAATTATAAAGTAAAAAACATGCTTTATTGTTATTTACAAAAGTAGTTAATTGAATAGAACTTTCAAGTTGGAAGACTATAGGAATAGCATCACTGCACAGTTCCATTGTTCCCGATAAAAATGACACCAAACGTGTTAATATTATCCAAGACAAACTTCAGAAAACGCCTGTAAGGCATCGGGACTTGTGAAAGAAGTGTGAAGAGGGAAAAAATGTGTATTGCTACTGAATGCTCATAAAAAATTAAGACTTCATTTTTTTTATATTTGAAAAGTAGTTAGAGCAATAATATTTTGTACAGAAATGGGTGGGTATGTCTAAATATCAGAAATGCCATTTTTTCAAAAATATTACTTTTCCCAAAATGTTTTCCATTTAAAGACCAGCCTCTCCCCTTAAACTGAAAGAAAGCCTAATTTAGTGTAAGGGACGGTACGGACGAGAAAGCTCTGAGGAACCTAGTCTGAGAACCATGATGTAGGGAGTCATAGGGTATCCGTCGTGGATGTCGTCACGCGACGCCGTGATGTCAGTCACATGACGTCACACTGCCACGTGACATCGCAGTGCGACGTGACGTCACATTGTCACGTGACAACTTTTTTGGAGTCAAGTAAAGTGGGGGTAAGCTTTTTAAAGGAGCTGTGCAACAATTTCAGGGCTTTGCTTAAATTATTGTGAAAGTTGATGCCTGACACTTCTGAAGTGAACTACAGAAAACAGATTTTGCCTGGATACCCTAGCTTTTATTTACAAAAATGAAAAAGATCCAGGTTTTTGCCGCCTCTCAACTCGTACATCGTCTTCCAAGTCACGTGCGCAGTGACGTTGAGGGGTTAGGCGTGGGGTTCCGGGAAAGTTCTCTCTTTAGAGCCATCAGTGAGCAGCGAGAACTCATCCGCTCGCGACCGCGTGACCACGTGCTGGTGGGTGCCGCGCAAACAATATGGTGAAAGGAGGAAAGTCTCATCCGGGTCTGGCCTTAGCCCGTCCGGCCCTGCCCCCCTCTTCCTTTGGCTTCTGGCGGCTGTTCGCGGTAGCAGAGAGAGCTGACGATTTTTGTGGTCCTAGGATAGATGGTGCCACTAAAACTCCGTGTAATAAAAGTTTTGTCGATGATACCAGGTTTTTGACGCATTTATATTTATGTTTGAACAAGATTTATAGAAAAGTTACCTTTTATCGAGCAGGTATTTGCACAACTTGCTATCTTTCTACAAGATTCCCCAGTGACGTCACGCCGCGTGTTTCTCATGGCCGCCGCTCGCGGCTGCAGGTCGGGGGAATATTCCAAGTTTTGCCTCGCTATTACGCGGCTGAATCGCAACATTCGATGAAAGGAGGTGTGTTTTCTGTCTTTGTGACAAGGTGAACAATATCAAAAGCAGAAGATGCCAATTCTTGCAACAATAAAATCGTTGCACAGCTCCTTTAATGCTGGCAAAGGCATTCGGATCTTGATGGAACAAACGGGCATGCTTTCACAAAACACACCTTACTGTGAGGAGTTCTATTGCACCTAACAAACGAGGACAGACGGCGGACGTGGAGGCATACTCACTGGATTGGCTTCCCCCGTATCTCCGACATGATGTTGCTCTCTCCGCCTAGGTACTCGTAACACAGGCTCAGGAAGTTGTAGATCACAAACGCTGCGCAAACGCCAAACAAACATACCAACAATGTCAAGCGAGCGAGCCACCACGAAAATTGCGGGAACGGGTTGTTATTGCGTTGCAGATTTGTCCCGAGGCACGTCATGTAAAACAAAAGGACTGACTTGCAACCTAATCCAACAGCTCGTGTTAAAGGCAGCAAGCAAAATTTCGCAAAGAGAGTCTTTGTGCGAAAACTGCACTGCAGGATGGCAGGATGACTTTGCCCTTCCGACTTCCCAAAGAGCCAGGATAAAGCATATGCCGATGAACAAGATAAGCTCTACTTGGCCAGCATGAGAGAACGCCGTTGCCACTAACGGGTTGATTCATCACAGGTTCATACGGCGAAAAAAAAAAAGCCCTGGCTTAACGTCCAAATATGCACACTCAGCGGCGTAGACTTTCCATTTTCCCGGAGGGGGGGGGGGGGGGGTGCTGCGCGTTACCTTTTTGCCAGAACTGGAGATAACGAAAACAAGCTGGGATTCTATTTCCCATATATTTTGTCAATAAAGGCAACGTGGGCGTTATATTGTTTACATGCCGCTACTAGAAGCTCGTTACATGGCACGTTAACAGCGTCTCGGTAAGCATCATGGCCCGGGCCCGTGGGGGCAAGGCTCTGCCCCCCCCCCCCCCCGGATTTCACCAGGGGTGGCACGAGCCCCGATGCCCCCCCATAGTCTACGCCTATGGGCACGCTAATTGGGAAAGCAAGGTGCGCCTGAGGGAAACTTTGTAAACAGTCAGCTGCCTACAACAGGACAGAAGTTTCGCGAGCACCCAAATTGCAATGCACCCCCCTTTAACCTCCCACGGATTGAGCAATGGATCAAGTTGGTGTTGCGGGCAAAGCAAGCTCACCCTTCACACTAATAAGCATATATATTTTACACTGTGCACCAGGTTATCGTGTTTGCACGATTATAACGCACACTTCTTTCGCCAAATTCGGTGCCCAAAACTACATGCACGTTACAATCGAAACCAAAAACCGAAACTCCGATACTCGGTATAAGAAGGCTAGTCCCATTGCCATCGTGACCGTTTGTTTACATTCGCCATTTTGGTACATGTCTCATGCGCATCCCCTCGCGACTATGGACTCGTTGGATCCCAGCACAGCTTTCAAGATGGGAACTCGAGTAATACACAGCTAACAGAGTTCCAACACTACATCTCGCGAGCTCTAGACAAACATAAACAAGTAGACACAATCTTCCTAGGTTTTTGTAAAGCATGTGACACTGTACCACATAAGCTCCTTGAAGGCATTTTAGGGGTCCACAAAGCCCTTCCTCATCAGTTGTTGCATTTTTTTCAGATTGAGAAGAAACATTGCATTTTCGAGCGAGTTTTCGCCTGTGTATGTCAATGAGACAAGTCTACTCCACACTAGTTCTTAGTTATATCCACTTATTAAATTATTATCATAATTACCTGTACCTTTCCCTTCTCCTCACCAAGATTGGGGTCTTCCATCGTCTCCGCCGATCCACAAGGGGTCCGCGAAACATCAATGGTTGAAAACTCCTGTTTTAGAGATTAAACTAGCATCCCTAAATACAAGTCATAATGTGGTAAACTGAATACAAAATTACCTAAACGGTCGCGAGCGGTCTGTTGTTTTAATTGGCAGTAAATCATCACACGTAAGCGTAACCTCAGGTGTGCCGCAGAGCAGTGTTCTTGGCCCGTTGCTGTTTTTAATCTATATAAATGACATTAAAGCACGCATTCAGTCCCCAATTAAAGCTATTTTCTGACGACTATTTATAGAGAGACAAATTCACCACAAGGCTCCTAGGTATGGCTATGTAACCTACAAGTCGTAGCTAACTGGTGCGATCAGTGGAATATGAGCTTAAATATTGGGATGTGTAACCACCTTGCATTCTCAAAGAGTGTTTCCAAGTTTTCAACATAAACAATACACTTTGCAGTGTCTCCCGAGTTTAAATATCTGGGAGTCTTCTTCAACCAGTCACTTAAATGGAATAAACATACAGAATACCCAATAAATAGGGCTAGTAGAATGTCACACTTTATTCGAAGAATTTTGAAGATGTTTCACTTTACTTTCTACATCTTAGATCAATACTGGAGTATGGGTGCGTCATATGGGATCCTTACCAAGATAACCCTGTTGAGCGATTGGAAAAGCTTTAAAATCAAGCAGCACAACTTGTTTTCATTAATTATGATCCATATGCTACTATTTCTGGGATGAAAGCAACACTAGGTTGGGAACCATTAAAGATAGAAGTAAAAAATAAAGGTTGAAATTTTTTCATCAGATTTATTATGACAACACCAGCCTTTCGGAGTCAACCTACGTTTCAGCGCAACGTGACCATCCCAATAAGGTTTTGGATAATTCTCTTAAAAACAATTTCGGAAATTCTTTTTTTTTTTCTTTTTTAACGATCAGACTGGAACATGCTGCCACCTGAACTGGTCGGCATTTTAGGCAGTAATATTTTTTTTCTCGTTTGTGAAACTAAAAGTGAATGTTAACCTCCTGTGTTTTTTTGGTTTTTTTGTGCCCCTGGAATAGTTCCTCAATAGAACTGCCGAGAAGAAGGGGAAGGCCCACCTTCGTACCAGTCCCGCACACTGTTGAAGTAGATGTAGTAGTTCTCCCGGAAGAAGAGCAGACTGAGCCACGAGTCGAACGCATAGATGGGCACTATGAACAGGATGCGCACAATCCAGCGTTGCTCCGACGGAAGTGTGTAGAACCGCAGGTGTTGGTAGATCTGCACAGCGCGCGGAGAATGAGGTACGGCCGTCATAAAGAACAGGCACACTTTCAGACGTTAAAAAAAAAAAAAATAAACCTTTAACATTCAACGGTATGGAACTTTGACGAAATAAGAGGATGCATCTCAAACGTACGTAACTTCAACGGCTTTACCGACACAGTTGAAGATTTAGAAAGAATGCAGAAGACAGGTTTCAGAAAGCGGAAACTGCTTGGTGTGTCCTGTTCTGTTTCAAAGTGCTTTTTACATGTTTTCTAACTACAAATAATAGGTAAACGTCAACAAGGTTTGACCAGAGGAAATTTGAAGACTCCCTCTTTGGGGGAAGAGGGGGGGAGGGGGAGGGGTGATGTTTTTAGTGATGGGGAGAAAATTGGCTTCAAAGAGCGGGAAGAATCATATGTTTATCTTTTTATATTTAGGCTAGGTGGCGCAAGCTACCTAGCCTAATAGTTATTAACATCCATCCAACCTTCATTTATCTATTCATGTTTAGCAAACTGCTCAGCAATTCTGTTACACATGAAATGTTCCGGTGTCGCAGAGCCCGGCGCATATGCTCACGGCGCTCTTCATCGGCTAACCTGACACGTGACATAGAAACTTGATAGCAGTTCCTGGAATCAAAATGCAGGCGCTAGTCGGGTTATAAACCCTGACACTTTTCCACAACCTCCCACACTCACCGAAATGAGCCATCGTCGTCGATAGCGTGACCTTTCCAGCAACCAATCGGCGTCGAGCTTCACGGTCGATTTTTTGGGGCTTCACTAAATCCGGTCCCCACTCAACGAGCCACGGAATGTTTCACATTAAAACGTTTGGGACTGGCCGTCACAACGGAAAAGCTATTTAGGATCCAGTCAGCACAGACGACGGCGTTTCAGCCCCCCGAAATCTCGCTACTACGCCCAGGCGTTTGCCGGACCCGCACTCGCCTGGTGGCAGGTGATGATCAGGGCGGTCCACACAAAGGCCCCCGAGATGGCCTGGGCCCCCGTCGTCTGCAGGAAGGTCGGCGGGAGCTCCTCCAGCACTTGTGTTGCATTCTCCGTCACGTTCATCGACATCAGGAGCGTCGGCAGGCTGGACGTCAACGGCACCGCCGACGACGCGGTCGTGCTTGAGCTGGACGTGCTCATGCCTGCCGTCCGAGAGATTCGTCGGGTCAATTAGTTTTTCCGTACAAATTCAGGCCCTCCGATGAAGGCGTCAAAAATTGACTCGAACGTGCAACTACTCGGATTTCTCAGTTCTCTGGGTCGAACTTGGACTTTTTTTGGGGGGGGGGGGAATTTGGGGCTTCAAAAAGCCGGGAGAAGCCAGAGTGGAGTCGAACTCGACCTTTGTTGGCTACATTCGCCAAACGAGTGTCAAAGTTAGGCTTCACTGCTAGCAGTCTGGCTCTTTTTTTTTTTATTTTTTATTTAAAAATATTAGTTTTTTTTTAGAAGAGACACTATGATAGGAGTGAGCAAAAAAAAAAAAAAAATCAGAAGTAGCAAACACAACGAGCACACCCAACTTTACATGTGTAAAATGCCAAGATAAAGACCAAAATTTACACGAGGTCCACAGTTGAACCTCGATTTTACAAAACCCGATATTACGAGTTTCCCGATTTAACGAACAAATGCGGATTCCCCGCACAGCCTATGCGCAAGGTCTCCCTTCCTTGATTTTACGAAGTACCCCGATTTAACAAAATAATTAGCGGGTTCTGGTGACTGTTAGATCGAGGTTGGACTGTATTAGTCACATAGATCTAGGCACTTCATGAAATCAGACACACATTTTGCCCCAACAGAGCTTTCTGGCAAGGCATTCCACTCTCTTATTGTTCTGGGAAAATAAGAATCTTTAAAACATTCTTTGGTATATTGATATTCTTCCAATGTTCTCGTATGTTCATTTTGCGCAATTCTAGGAGTACAAGGTCTAATTAAACTGTTTGTCCATCAAAATCGTTTCATCTCAAATCATGTAAAACATCTTCAGTCGGATGTTCCGACGCCTCTTCTCCAGTAAGCTGATACCTGCCTTTAAATAAAGTTCTCTGGGTGAATGAAGCTAAGAAGGTCGTTAAAATGGCGTTGCCATTTTAACGACCTTCTTAGTGGCCAAAGTTTCCCAGTGCCAGGGACAGGCTTCACTTCTGGATGCTCTGTTTTTGTGCGGCAACAGAGGGCCCAAATTGTCAAACAAGTGCCAGATTAAGGCTTCACTGCTGTTCCTTTGGTTCGTGCGTGGCATCTCTGGCTTGAGTCTGGCACTTTGGCAGTTATCTGGCAAGCCAAAGAAACGTCATAGATATGCCAAAGAAGAGCACTTCAATACTAACTAATGTCATAAAGCAAGAACCGTATTATGCCCAGGTTTGGACCCTAAGATTGACAAGCTGGAGCCAAGATAGGTGCGTCTATGGCATGCCACCTGGGTACACTTCGTTCCATCAGCCGCAACTTGGCAAAGAGTGAACGCTCCGGCCCCTTCGAGCCAATCGGAGCTCTGACCCCCCCCCCCTCCCCCTCCCCCCCCAAAAAAAAACTAGAAAATATTTAAATTCAAAATTATTAATAAATGCCAAAAAAACAAATGTATTGTACATATCACAGTTAAAAGCGATTTTGATCCACTTATACAAGTTTGGCTATCTCCTCATTAAAAGACAAAATTTATTATAGAAAGCGACATTGTGAAATAACATTGGATCGCTAGTATTGTCTTTTGCAGGTGATGCTAAAGTAAACAACATTTATCATGATGGCTTAATAAAAAGAAAAATTGAAAATCCAATATGTTTACAACACTGTATAGCTAGTTAAGTTTGTTAACCTAGTTTACCGCTAGCCAATTGCAAAACATATTAAGTAGCGACACCTAATGCACCACCTTTTACAGACACACAGGATCCCTTAGTTTTGACCCAATAAATAAATAACAATTACCATAGAATACCGCTCATCTGCCCATTCCACATTAAGCACCCATATCCAAATTTCTAAGATCTGAGAAAATATGCACAGTACATTTATATGTAAAATTGATGACCGGACAAGCGACCATCCCCCATTTTTTTGTGATTATCTCTATATTTTGAGTGGGCACTTACCCGGTATTTTACGGTAAACAAAAATTTTACTGTCTAAATAAAAAAAATTGACTCGAAAAATGAGCAAAAAAAAAACTTTGAAGTACACACCAAATACAGAGAAGTGCAAGGTCCCAGTAATCACTGCTCGGACTCACTGAAGGTGCGAGGCACTTTACGCGGCTGAGAAAATAGGTGCCAAGTCGCCAAAAGGGATCACCAAACAAAGGAAGAAACAAACAAGTCGGTCAATCGAATCGCGAGGAAATAGGCCGCACATCAATCCCAGTAATGGCCCCCGCAGTCGCCCCTGCCCTACAACTTCGGACAACTGTTCCGCAACAAACGTCCGTCCATTGAAGGACTCGCCGCCGAGAACAGCTGGGCCTGTCAGGCGCAGCTGTCACCCCGCACAAAAGACTCCGTCGTCGTCGGTCTTCCCCACGCCCGTCTCTCGCTGGGACGCAGACAGATTTGAGACAAACGCACAACGAGCAAAACGGAACCGCCCCTCCCTTCATGTCCTTTACGACACTTTCGCTTTCCTGAAACGCGCTGAGTCGCCTGAAGCCCTTTCGAGACCTTGGTGCCCGCATTGCGCTTCCTTGGGTGTCACCCGTCACTCAACGATCCAGAAAAAACAAATATGTATCAAAGCTACACGAAGAAAAGTATGAAGTAAGTGGTAGGCTTTTGTAGTTTCAAGAACTCTGCTTTGGAATGGGCTACAAAAGACTACAGCATGCTGAACATACACGCAGTTAGCACGAACATGACTTTGGAGCTGTTTCGCGTTTCGCTCAGGCAGGGTGTCTGACAGGCATCACATTTTACCGCTTGTAGTGGAAGCCTCGAATGAGCATTTCCGCTACTTTGGTTGTCCTGACGACAGACATCCTTTCAATTCTGAGAAAATCTTGATCGCTCGTACATGCAAACTGTGTAACGCTTTGTGCTATCGAAATGGGAGTAGGGACAGCAGGGGTCGCTCAAACTGGGACTGGTAGGTTCCTCTGTCCCAGTACAAGTCGTCTTTCAGACTATTTTTCTGGGTTTCCCTAGTACCCTTTGCTCCCACCTATTAAAAATAAAAAAACTACAGCAGATAGGTCAGATACACCTTGTTGGCGAACTTTCTCCCCCTCAAGTGTCAGCAACAGGCGACAAACGAACAGGCCCATGAACAAGCAATGCCACCGAAGATGGCAGCAATCTCCTATCTCCAAAAGTGCAAGTTTGGCTGGAAAAACCTTTCAGCCTTTCCACTCTGGTGAAGAAGGAAGACCAGCGAGGCTGTACTATGGTGGGAATGAAGTAATGGCCGACCGCAAGTCGGCAAGCCAGAGTGGAAAGGCTGCAAAGGTTGCCGCGATCCGTGAGCGATGGATGGCAAGCAGACAACCGGCAAACACAACACTCTGGACAGCTACCGCCATCAATGAGTGATGGCGGCAACCAGAGTGTTGTGTCAACATTTCAGTGCGGACAGACACGATCCTGGCAAAACTAGCCCTCAACAGGGGGGATTGGTGGCCGAGTGGTCTAGCGCACACCAGCTCGGAGCACGTGGAGCGAAAGCTCGCGCTGCAGAACCCAGGGATCCTGGGTTCGAGCCCCACCCCTGCCCGTTTCGATCTGGATGAGCATCGTACCGGCGTGCGGTCGTGTATCACTACTGCGTGATGCACGTTAAAGACCCCAGGCTGGCGGCTGTACCGCACTGGCTAAATCTCTCATCTACAGCTGGGAGACTCGTCGCCCCTGTGAGGCAGACCAAGTTCTAGGCTGTATAAACACACACACAACCTATTTTTTTTTTTTAGCCCTCAACAGCTCCCCTGTAAAAAAAGTCCCCGAGCGGTGTTGGTAAATTGCTCGTATAACGGGAACGAGGCCGCTATATCTGCTGCGCTCGTCAAACACCAAGCAAAGAACATTTCCCTTCGGTCACTGCGACAGACCCAGTTTTCGATTTCTTTGAGATGCCCGCCTTGCTCCTTTCCTTCCAGAGAATCTGAGAGGCAGCGCCAAAAATCCTGAATGACGATGAGACATCCCAATTTGCATATTGCATAAATGAGGTTCCAATCCGTACGTATTTTCTGGTTTAGATTCTATATGCGAGATCAAAGACGAAAGAAAGAGCTAAGCAGTTTTGGGAAAGCTTTTTGGGAGCAGCAACATAAGTGGCAGCCTGGAGGTCTTAAACATATGCGCACAGGCTGATGACAAATGAGAAAAGCGCCAGCTCGACAGAAACAAAACACTTTTTTTTATTTTATCTCTCCGTTTTTTAGGAAAATATTTGTAGTATTTTTTTTTATTATTTAATACGCTTTGTTCGAGAATAAGGACAGAACAGCACGATGCGGTGGTAGAAACACTTTGGGGAGCGGAAAATCAAACAACACCTTGCAAGGCTTTCAAACATATGCAGACAAGCTGATGATAAAGGACAAAAGCACAAGCTCGGAAGAAACATGACACGCGCGAAATTCACAAGAAAAAAATTGGTGCAAGAATTTCGTTGAAGATGATCCTATTTTCAATGTTGGAAATGGGGGTGCCTATTGGAGTAGATATGTCACATTACCTCACAAGATAGAAATATCTGCATCAAACCTTGCTTTGAACCAAACTTGAGGTCTAGAGCCTGCACATAAAACAACCTCCCCCCACTGAAAAGAAGATAGATACACTATATCCGAGAACGACCACACCCAGTACACCACCATTAATAATTCTAAACATTCCTCGTGCGCTGCAACCTTCGGTGTCCCTCAGGACAGTGTACTTGGGCCCTTCCTCTTTTTAATGTGTAACTTTTGTGCTCATGAATGTCATTAATTAATTAATGACATTCATGAGCACATCTCATCATCAGTTTGTTGGTTTGCAGATGACTGCATAATTTACAGGCCCCTTCTATCGCCCGAAAATCACCATACCTTGCAAACAGACATTTCGCAAGTTATTCAATGGTGCAGTAAACGGCAGATGACCCTAAATTTTGACAAATGCAAACTCTTTTCGTTTTCTCGTTGCGCTCTTCT